TACCACATTTTATGAATTCCCTATCCAATGCATAAATACAGAAAAAAAATCCTACAAGTTAAAATTGAGATGGCTTTGTCTCTAACAGAATTTCCTCAAATTCAAACATTCCTGTCCCACATGGGTAATAACATTGAAAATGTTTTAAAACAGCTCATACCCCGTGTGAACGATGATGTGGCGTACTGTGATGAATCCTATGTTTACTTTTATAACTACTTCTTCCACTTCTACCAGAGGACTTGCTACTATGGTTCTGGTATCTGCTCTCATGGTCTCTATGGCGATATCCAGGTTCACATCCTTGACTGTAGTCATTTCTATATTCATCAATGTAGCGTCGACTATGATAATCTTTCTCATTTATAGATCTGCTTTCCAAATAATAGCTAGAGAAAAAAAAATTGTTCAATGTTTTGTGCCAACATCAAATAATAATACATGTTTCTATGTTCTCTTAAAGACTGTCTAACTGCCACCCTCCCCTGCCCCACCGCCAGCACAAGACTTTTACAAACCATCAGAAGAAGAGTCTGGCCCAGGTCAAGCTTGTATTCCAGAGTGCCTGGGTTTCACTCCCTGCTCCACCTCCTGACTGTAGCTATCCACTAATGCAGACCCAGTGAGGTGGCCAAGGCACAGGTCACTGGGTTCCTACCACTCATCCTGGGAGACCTGATGGGAGTGCCATGCCCTATAAATACAAAACAAACACCCTCTCACAGGACACAGAGGAACGGTAAACATTTATTGAGACAGAAGGCGCTCCAATTGGCTGTTTCACTCCCTAAATTCTTGCAATTTAGGCTGGGTGTAGGATCACTTGAGTCATTGCTAGCTCCCAAAGTCTGCATTAGGAATCAGAAACTCAAACCTAAGCAACTGAAATTGGGACAAGGGACACTTTCAGTTGTGTGATACTAATGTTCCCATACAATGTATTTGTACAGCTTCACCTCCTTACCTATCAGATGTTTTAGAGTGATTGTATTTGCAGCGCTTGTTCTCCCGGGCACTGCTATAGGATCGCTTCCTCCGTTTATGACAGCTGCTGCTTCTCCATTTTCCATAATCCCAATCCTTTTCATCCCAATCAGGACAGTAAGTCCTCTTTGAATGTCTCATCTACAAAAAAAAGGCAAAATTTTCCCGGTTTAGTCGCATCCCACAAGGAGCTGTTTAATAAAATCACTTCTTTGTAAATATACCCTTGGTGTGACCTTTCGGGATTGTTTTTTTTTTTTTTCAAATCAAAATTTGGCAGTCGCTTTCATCCCATCCATAAACACTGATAAATCCTGTTGGCACCATGCTCAGAGCGGCAGTTACAACGAAGGTAAATTTTTAAAATAGAAGGCAGAGTGCGAATCCCAACTTATCAACTACCTACCTTCCAGTGACAAAAGCAAGCACAAAACACGTCTCAGAAACTAGCTTCCAATCTAAACATCCTGACCAGCTTTCTGCAATTATCTTTCCAGCGCACACTGCAAGGTCGGTGCAAAACATGTCAGCATCCCAAGGGCTCTGAGCACGCACGGAAACCAATGAGAGCACCAGAGACCCCAAACCCCAGACTCCCCAGGCCGGACGGTACCCAGCGGGGCCGAGCTAGCTTCACACACCATTCCGCGGCCGGCCGAGACCACTGCCTTCCAGAAAGTGGCTTCTTAAACGACTCCATTGACCTCCGGTACCCGGACTGCAGCACAGGTCTCCTCCTACGACCTGGGACCCCGGGAGGAGCCCGCAGCGGCGCCAACGCCACCTCCCCGGGTCTCTAGTCTCTCAATCCGACCTGTCACCACCTCCGGAAGCCACCGCGTCTATCTCTCCGTCCCGCCCGGTCACCCTGTCCCGTCGCCGTTTCCACTGGCTACAGACAAGTGCCCGCAAGCGCTGAGGGATCTCCACACGTTCTAGAACGCCCGCGCGAGCCAGCCCAACAGGGAGCTCCACCGCCTCTTCCCGAGGACGGACCCCGCCCCGCCGCCATCTTGCAACCCTGCCGCCGGAGCTGACAACATGGCGGGCGCCCGGGCTCAGCCCTCCCCACCTGCCCAGCTGCGGAAAGCCGCGCCGCGACGGGGGTGCCCCGTCAAGACAACTCCCTCAGCGTCGGAGAGCACGGGCTGGAGGCCACGGGCCCGCCGAGAGCCGACGATCGCGCCGCCTTTGGGAAGCCTGCGGCTGACGAGGTCGCCGCCGTGGGGGCGGCCGACTGCCGCACTCACGGGGAACACGGCCCTGGCGCCGGTGCGCTCCCTCTGCCGCTTACCGTCGTGCTTGAGACTCCACGCTGAAGGGCACAAAGCTGCGACGGGAACAGGAGAGCGCCCAGCTCTCCGCGACCGGAACACACCACAAAATGGTGCTGACAGTCGCGGCGTCAGGACTCTTCTCGAAAACACGGAAGACGCCCTGAGCGCGTCACCGCCCCGGGGCGGGGCGGGGGCGCGGCCTCCCAGTGCGCAGGCGCCGGGTGCGGGCCTCCAGCGAGGAGGAGGAGGAGGAGGGCGGCCGCCATGTTGGCCACGTCTCCGTTCGGATTCTTACCCAGTGTGTCGCGGCTGGCATTGTTTTCTGCGCTTTGTTACAACTTTGTAGGCAGTGCGTATCCCTCCTCCATATATGGCCCTTATGACTAAAACAAGGTGGCGTTTAAGAAATAAGCTCAAAGACATAAAACAGCATTGGCACCACTTAACCACTGGCACTCCAGAGTAAAAATGTCAGTAAACACAGAAGCATTGTAATAATCAAGTACAGATCTCCTAAGACTGACAACAAAAATTAGTAACACTTGGGGATTAAAGCTATGCGATATAAAACGTGGCCCAAAAAAACCTCTGGCAAAAAAATTTTTTTTAATACTAAAAGCAGAAACCAAAATGATTAGTTAAAAGATGAAACAAAATGAGATCATTAAAACAACTAGCATTTGTTTGTGAGACATATCTAAGACAGGAGAGCTGCAAGCTAACTCCCAAACCTAAGTTCAGAATCAAAACATTAATTAGTCTCCCTTGGGAGAAGAAATAAACCCAGTAAAGGTTTTGATGTCTTGATATAATCAAGGTGACTGAGGTAGTGATGGAAACATTGGTCTGAAATCAACAACAATGCTGGGAAAATGGGTTGATTAGGTGAAAGCCGTGTGGTAAACAGCAGTATGTTAGGAGAGCACCTTCCATATACTGTGTTGTGCCGGATTTTGAAATCCCCAGAAAATCAGGAAGTCTGAAGTCGGTGCTAAGGCATAAAGGTGGTTTATTCAGGTTAGCCTGAGCGCCCCAGCCACTTGCCCCAGCCCATGGGCAGGGGAGGGGCAGCCGCAGCCCAGACTGCAGCAGGATCAGCAGGGAGGACCAAAAGGAAGGAAAGAGAGCCACAGGGAGCCCCGGTTGAGCAGCCCAAGGTTCTTACACATCTTAGGGTATTAATTATACAGTCATGATTTTGCAGGCTTCTATTGGTGGGTTTGAAGCAAGCAACTTTTAAAAAGTATAAATTGATGAGCTATAGGGCGGTGGATCTTATCTAACACCAGGTACCTCCTTCCTGAGGAGTGGTCTGCCTATGTGATGGGCCAGGTATCTTCAGGTGTCCTGCCGGGGGTGTCACTTAGACTATCAGGTCTAGAGTTCACACAGCCCCCAGCCAAGCAATTAAGGCAGAATCACAAAAGGCAGAAAATCTCTAGGTTCTTCAACTGCATGCCAAAAGCTTTACACTTATTTCACTTAATCCTTACAGCAATCAGCTGGAGACACATGGACAAGAAACCAAAAACTTGGAGATCCTCCCTTGCCTAAAATCACCAAGCAGGGGGGACTCAGCTGTGATTCCACATACACTGACTCCACAATTGGCGTTTAAAATTTTTTTTTATTTTCATTGGAAAGTCAGATTCACAGAAAGGAGACAGAAAGATCTTCCATTAGCTGGTTCATTCCCCAAGTAGCCACAACAGCTGGAGCCGAACCAATCTGAAGCCAAGAGTCAGGAGCTTCTTCTGGTTCTTCCACGTGGGTGCAGGGTTCCAAGGTTTTGGGCTGTCCTCAACTGCTTTCCCAGGAGCTAGAAGCGAAGTGGAGCAACTGGGACATAAGCCAGCGCCCATACAGGATCACAGGCATGCAAGGCGAGGACTTAAGCCATTAGGTCACAGCACAGAGCCCACAGCTGGTGCTTCTAACAAGCTCACTGCCTCTTCAAATGAATCCTGGTCTCTCACGTGAATGCAGGGGCCCAAGAACTTCTGGGCCATCCTTTGCTGTTTTCTTAGACATAATTGCTGGAAGCTGGATGTAAGTGGAACAGCTGGGATTCAAACCAGACCAGATGCTGACATTATAACCCATCATGCTGCTAGACCAGCCACCAAAGAATGCTTTAAAAGATTCGTTTCTAAGGGCCTGGCATGGTAGCCTACTGGCTAAAGTCGGATCCTTGCACACCTGGGATCCCATGTGTCATAGTTCCTGTCCCTGCTGCTCCACTTCCTTGCAGCTCCCTGCTTGTGGCCTAGGAGAGCAGCTGTGGACAGGTGAAGGCTTTGGGACCCTGCACTCCTATGGGAGATGGGAAAGAGGCTCCTGGCTTCTGATCAGCTCAGCTCTGGTCATGCCGCAACTTGGGGAGTTAACCAGTGGATGGACATAAGATCTTTCTGTCTCTCTCCCCTTCTATGTATTGGCCTTGCATTTTTAAAAAAGTAAATGAATAAAAGTTTCATAAGTGGGCCCAGCATGATACCCTAGTGGCTAAATCTTTGCTTTGCTTACAGTGGGATCCCATATGGGCACTGGTTCCTGTCCTGGCTGCTCCACTTCCCATCCAGCTTTGCATGTGGCCTGGGAAAAAGCAGTCAAGCACAGCCCAAAGCCTTGTGACCCTGAACTCACACTGGAGACCTCAAAGAAGCTCCTGGCTCCTGATCAGCATATCTCCAACCATTGTAGCCACAGGGGAGTGAACCAGCAGACAGAAGATCTGTCTCTCCTTGTCTTAGTTTTTCTTAAAAAAAAAAAAAAAGGAAGTAACTGGAGAAATGCATTGAGTGCTTTAAATACTTTAGGGACATTTTAGAGCCATTATTGTAAGTCTAAAGACCAGAGGATAGCCTTACTAGACATCTCTGTGTAGTTCCAATTTTGGTATATGCGCTGCTGGAATGAGCACTCTACACCATCTCCTGTCTGTCAATTTAGCTACATGAAGTTACTAGAAAATATTACTCCTAGGATATGGATAAAATTTAGTAGATAATCAGGGCATGCTTTACTGTGGACCAGCATTTTAAAATGAATGTATGTGACAAGAAAGCATCATGATTTTTTTCTAAAGATTTATTTTTATTGCAAAGTCAGATTTACAGAGGAGAGATAGAAAAATCTTCCATCTGCTGCTTTGCTCCCCAAGTGGCCCCAACAGCCAGAGCAGAGCTGATATGAAGCCAGGAACCAGGAGCTTCTTCCGGGTCTCCCACTTGGTTCAAAGTCCCAAGGAATTTGGGTCATCCTCAATTGCTTTTCCAGACCACAAGCAGGGAGCCGGATGGGAAGTGGAGCAGCCAGGACTAGAATTGGTGCCCATATGTTATCCCAGTGCAAGCAAGGAGAAGATAAAGCCACTAGGCTATAACACCGGCCCAAACAAGACTTTATATTTAAAATTAAACAAATATATTGACTAGCAGTTGTAGAAAATAATATGCCATAGGAATGGGCACTAAAGATTCTGTGCTTTCCCTGGCACCACCAGTTCATAGAAAATTTTGTAAACAAGTAGGAGGAGGATACAGTCTCTGATGTAATTACAACAGGGTAAACCACAATGGGTGTGTTCCAATAAACACTTTGTCATGTATTTGTCCAGCTTAATATAGCTACTGAGCAAATGGGTTGGCATGAATAGTTATGTCTTTAATGTGGACATCATTAAGAGGTCGATATGTCTTCTCATTTACTGGTAACTTCTCCAATTCATCTAGAGTTTCCAGACCATCTATTACCCTAAAAGAGAAACAACATAATAAATTAGTTTGCAAAGGTTAAAATATCCAAATATTTGAGGCAATTCATTTCCTTAATAGAAATGGACCATGTTACAGTCCTCCAGTTGAGTATATAACAGAATATTAATTTTATTTTCTGCCATTAAATTCAGCAATAAAAATTCATTTTTATGCTGTTAGTCAACAAAACCAATAGGTAGGAATATTCCTGCAAAAGTACCTAAAATTATATTCTGCTCCATCCATATAGTCAGACAGGTAGCTACAATACAACCAGCAAAAAGGAAACAGACTTGATCAATTTGTTCATAACAATTCAAACACTAAATGTGTTGGTTCTTTCAATTCTCTACTTGGGCGAGTGCCATAAAAGTTAGTTTTGACACTGTTTGCTTGGAATTGATGCAGGCCTTACAGGTTAGTTCCACAAGTCACCCTCCTACTATAGACACAGGGAGCAACCTAACTTTTGCCTACAAATCAGGGATTCCAATGACCCCTTTTTCAGGTACAGTCTTTTGCTACAGATACCCAAATTTCAGGAGGATATTCTGTTTATATCGCGGTACATTATAACTCAGGAACACCCACAGAGATTGCTCAGGCAAAGCGTAGAGCAGGGCTCCCCTCCCAGATATCCTTGTGTTCACCCATCTGTAGCCTGCTCAGCCCTGCTTACAACCCTTAAGGAGACAATGATTTTCAGCCACTAGTTCTTAGTGATGGTACTCTGTCTCCAGCCTCTCTCCCCTTCCTGGAGACCAGAGCTCATGTGAGTGGAAGAGATAGGGAGAGGAACCCCAACCCTCTCATCACACACTGTACTCCTCCAGCAGCCCTTCTCCATCCAGCAGCTCCGCACGGGTCCACGGGAGTCATTTCATTAGTGTCAACTCAGGTATGATTGAGGGGAATTTGCTATGACCAACAAAATGCTTGTCTAATCTTTATCAGGTTTTAGAAGAAAGGTTTAGGAGAAAGGAACAAGGCCAAATCTATATTTCTTCTCATATTACAACACCACAGTAGCCATAGGGAATTTTTTGCTATAGGAAGTACAGAGAAAGCATAGAATGTAACTATTATTGTCAGTATTGTCCTACATGAAGTCCCTGAGTAGATGATGACTTTGCATTTCACTGCCAAATACCTGTATGTTGTTTGCAGTCTTGCTCTTGACGACAGAAAATAATGAACAGTTAGCTCAGCCTGCAACAAGTTCACTACATGCTTCCACTGAGAGAGAAAATTGAGGGCTACATTTAAAGAACATGTTTTAGAAGTCTGATTCTTTTTAAAAAGTGGCTTTTTAGATTATACCTTGTGAAACAATTCAGATCAATTCTTATTCCAATTTTAGTACATGTGCTGCCGACGCGAGCAACAGACCAGTTCTCAAGATTTACAGTATGTTCTAAAGAAACAAAGATAACAGGGCCCGGCGTGGTGGCCTAGCAGTTAAAGTTCTCTCCTTGAATGCGCAGGGATACCATATAATCGCCGGTTCTGATCCTGGTAGCTCCACTTCCCATCCAGCTCCCTGCTTGTGGCCTGGAAAAGCAGCTGAGGACGGCCCAGAGCCTTGGGACCCTGCACCCGTGTGGGAGACCTGGAGGAAGTTCCAGGCTCTTGGCTTTGGATCAGCACCAGCCGTTGCATTCACTTGGGGAGTGAATCATCTGACAGATCTTCCTCTCTATCTCTCCTCCTCTCTATATATCTGACTTTGCAATAAAAATAAATAAATCTTTAAAAAAATAATTAATTAATTGAAAAAAGAAACAAAGATAACAGAACTATACTTTATTTTTCATTTCCACTAAACAGGTATATTAAAAAAATAAAGAATCCCTAAAATGGGTATCAGCAACAACAACCAACAACACAAACCTTTTGATTTTATTCCTAAATGTAGGGCCACTAAAATCTTTTAGTCTTACAGGCGTTTCTGCCATCAAGTCCCTGAGAAAGAGGATATAAACACACAGCTTTCATGGAAAGCAGTCAGGCAGAATTGAGGCAAATTTAGTCCAGCCAAGGATCTAGGATGTGGGCCCCTTGAAGAATGAGAGGAAATTACAGACCATCTTCCGAGAAATGTGTGTGCAATCCATATAACTGCAAGGAATTAATGAAGCTGGAGTTAAGAGCCTTGCTGCTTCTTCTTCTTTTTTTTTTTTTTTTTTGAGGTTTATTTTTATTGGAAAAGCAGATTCACAGAGGAGAGACAGATCTTCTGTCCACTGCTTTACTCCCCAAGTGGCCCCAACAGCCAGAGCTGAGCTGATCCAAAACTAAGAGCCATGAGCTCCCACCGGGTCTCCCACATGGCTGCAGGGACCCAAGGTTATGGGCCGTCCTCAACTACCTTCCCAGGCCACAAGCAGGGAGTTGAATAGGAAGTGGGGCCACCCAGACATGATCTGGCACCCATATGGGATCCTGGTGCATGCAAGGTGAAGACTAGCATGATTTCTGGGTCATTCAGGAAAGTTCTTTAAAGAGCAGCTGACTCAGCTGGCATCCAGCTTCTGGCCTTCCTCTTCCTGGGCGGCTGGATCACAGATGTTCTGGCTGGGGCAGTACTGTCGACATCATGACTATGAAGTAGGCTTTAGGATGATAGCTAATGCTGGTTGAGAAGATGTCTGTGCCCAGAACACTGGTGACAATGCAACCATGATGGCAGTCTGTTTTGTTTGAAAAGATGTTAGCTGCTGTGAACTGCCCTTCTTAATGAAAACACATTACTGTTAATTTATATAACAATCCTGAAAAAAATTTTGCCCCCTCTTTCACAAAATTTGAAAGATAGGGTTCAAAGAGGCTGTAACTTTCCCAATAAGGGGTAGACTTAACTCCAGGTACATTTGCGCTCATATCACTCTTCCCAGTATTTGTACTACTGTCGTAGCCACACTTATGTACCCTTTGCACTGAAATTCTAACAAAAACCATAACCAGGGCAGGTTTCCTGTCAAACGATTAAAATGCTTGTGGAACACTCACATCCCAAAATTGAATGCCTGGGTTTGAGTTCCAGCTCTATTTCTGACTATAGCTTCCTGCTGATAAGCACACCGGAGGACAGCGGGCGACACCTCAGGTAATTTAGTCCCTGCCACTCAGGCAGGAGATCTGGATACAGTTCCTGGCTCCTGACTTCAGCCTGGTCCAGCCCCAGCTAACATGAAATACTGGGAGTGAACCAGTACATTTTTTTTCTGTTCTGTCCCTATCGTTTAAATAAATAAAGTAAAATTAATTCATTTAAAATAAAGTTTTAAAAAATCAATAGAGTACTTACTTCCCAAACACTGTGTACTTCATGTCCAAATGTGGCTGCTTGCCGTAGGTGATGAAGAACTGAGACCCGTTAGTGTTGGGACCATTATTGGCCATCGACACAACCCCCCTAACATTGTGCTGAAAAAGACAATCCCAAGTGTTGTTGACAGAATCATTCCACACATTGAGACAAGACATGTACTCTTTCCCTTTCCAATATTTAAGAGAATAAGGACATATTTAACTGTATTGGGGCTAATCCAAATGTTCAGTTTCTATATGATCTGTGTCCTTGAAAAATTAGAAAACAAACAACTTATAAATCAAAGCACATTTTCCATTTAACTATTACTTTGGAGAATAACAGTCACACTTTCAGTAACACCAATGTGTAGTACTCCTTACGTTTATATTAAGGAATGGTGAACTGGTATGAAATGATCAGGCAGCCAGTAAAGCCAAAATCCCCGTTATCTTTCACATGCACTGAACTCACTAGCTTCTTTATCTAAAAAACTAGGGAGACTGGACTAGTTCAGGGTCTACAGATGATTCACATGCGCACAAGAGTAGGGCAGTTGATCACAGGAAAGAATGCTAACTTCAAGGAGAGATGGAGTCTGGCAAAATGAGTAGCCTAAATCTTGCCTTACAGCATTCACTTTATAAATCGATGGCAACAGAGAATGCTTCTCAGGTTCTTCCCTTCATGGACAACCAACGTACAACCCCAGGCATGGATGAGCTCATGGAGCTTGATGATTATGACACTACTCATGTACACACACTGATTGGACTGAAGATATGACTAAGAATCATACTGTAAAGAGGTGCACAAACATAAAATTCAGTAGCTCCGTTGATGACTCCCACTGCAGCTATTCATCTGATAACACTAATTAAACAAGTCATAGAGCTATAGCTATATACTACCTGGGGCTGGCACTTTGGTGTAGCCGATAAGGCTTCCACCCGTAGTGCTAGCATCCCATATGGGTGCTGGTTTGGGTTCTGGCTGTTCCACTTCCACTTCAGCTCCCTGCCAGTGCGCCTCGGAGGGTGGTACAGACTGCCCAAATGCTTGGGCCCCTGTAACCAAGTGCCAAGTCTTGAAGAAGTTCCTGATTCCTGGTTTTGGATTAGCCCAGACCTGGCAATTGTGGCCATTTTGGGGAGTGAACCAGGGGATAGAAGATCTCCTCTGTCTTCTGCCCCTCTAACTGCGACTTTGCCTTTTAAATAAATAAGCCCTTCTTCAAAATTAATACTTCATTTTCTCCTTGAAAGCTGATGATCAAATGTAATATGAGATATATGTTTTTTTCAGATTTATTTATTTAGTTAGTTGAAAGGCAGAGGGACAGAAAAAAGGGGAGGGACAGAAAGCGCTGGAATAGGATCCCAAGCAGCATTTTAGCTTTAAGCCAAATGTTCACCCCTAGATATATTTCTAACATATGTACCATTTCTAAGTTAATAAAACAAGCATCCATTTACCACTGCTGTGTAATCACAGGGTAATATTTTGCCCTGTGGTGCCAGCATCCCTTTTGGACACCATTCTGTATGTATCCTGGCTGTTCCACTTCTGATCCACTTCCCTGCTTATTCCCTAGAAAAGCTGTAGAGGATGGCTCAAGTCCTTGGGTCCCTGCACCCACACGGAAGTCCCAGAAGAAGCTCCTGGCTCCTGGTTTTGGATCAGCTCAGCTCCAGCAGTTGTGGCTGCTTTGGGGGGTTAATCAGCAAACTCATCTTCCTCTCTGTATATCTCACTTTCCAATAAAAATAAATATCAAAATCTCTAAGTTACCATGTATGCCTATCTGCTTCCTTTTACTCCCGCCCGTGCAAGAGGTAACCACAGATTTACTTGTGAAGATATGTGTTGTTTCCTTTTGCCACTTTCTGAACTCTGTAACATGGTATCATGCAACTTTCGTTTTCTGGAACCTGCTTTTCACATTTAACACTGTTAAATTTCAAAGATTTACACAGGATCAGGCCTTTGGCACAGTGGTTGAGATGTCCCTTGGGATACCTGAGTCCTTGCTTCAGAATCTGGCTTCCTGCCAATGCGCACCCTGTGAAGCAGCAGGGGGTGGCTCAAGAACTTAAGACCCTGTCATCCACACGGGAGACTCACATCAAATTCCTGGCTCCTGCCCTTGATCTGGCCTAACCCCAGCTGCTGTGGGCATTGGGGGGGTGACTGGGCGGTGGGTGGATGTGTTAATTAGCAGATGGAAAATCTGCTCTCTTGCCTTTCAAATACAGTAAACACATTTTTACAGATAAGATTTATACAGGTTTAAGCAGTTATAGCGCACTAATCTTTTTTCAAAGATTTACTAGAGACAGTTATATAGAGAGGAGAGGTCTTCCCTACGTTGGTTCATCCATCAAATGGTCATGACAGCCAGGACTGGGCCAGGCCACAGCCAGGACCCAGGAGCGTGTGCTGGGTCTCTCACATGGGTAATGGCCTAAGCACTCTTCTAGTGCTTTTCCAGGCACATAACAGGGAGTTGAATCAGAAGTGGAACAGGTGGGACTGAAATGGGTACGTGTGTGGAATGATAGCACTGAAGGCTGTGGCTTTACTTGTTATGCCACAGCACTGGCTCCTGATGGATTTTTTAATTTTTATTTTTATTGGAAAGGCAGATTTACAGAGAGAAGGAAAGCCAGAGAGAGAAAGATCTTGCATTTGCTGGTTCACTTCCTACATAGGTTGCAATGGCTAGAGATGAGCCAATCCCAAGCCAAGAGTTAGGAGGTTCTTCCGGGTCTCCTGGTTGGGTGTAGGGTTCCAAGGCCTTGGAACATATCCACTGCTTTCCTAAGGCAGAAGCAGGGAGTTGGACGGAAAGCAGAACAGCCAGGATACAAACTGCCATCCATATGGGATGCTGGCGCTTGCTGGTGGAAGATTAATCAACTGAGCCATTGTGTTGGCCTCCCCTACTTGACCTCTACTCCACCCAGCACCCCCCCCCCGATTGATTTTTCAAAAACTGCTGATTCAGTAAACAAAGGACTGAGGAGGACCTCGTGCAGTAGCCTACTGGCCAAAGTCCTCGCCTTGCATGAGCCGGGATCCAACATGAGTGCTGGTTCATATCCCAGATGCTCCACTTCCCTTCCAGCTCCCTGCTTGTGGCTTAGGAAAGCAGTCGAGGATGGGCCAAAGCCTTGGGGCCCTGCACTCACATGGGAGACCTGGAAGAGCCTCCTGGCTTTAGATCCGCTCAGCTCCAGCCCTTGGGACTACTTGGAGAGTAAACCAGTGGATGGAAGATCTTTTTTTTTTTTTAAAGATTTATTTATTTTTATTGCAAAGTCAGAGATATATAGAGAGGAAGATCTTCCCTCCAATGACTCACTCCCCAAGTGATCACAACGGCTGGTGCTGATCCAAAGCCAGGAGCCTGGAACTTCCTCCAGGTCTCCCACACTGCTGCAGGGTCCCAAGGCTCTGGGCCATCCTCAGCTGCTTTCCCAGGCCACAAGCAGGGAGCTGGATGGGAAGTGGAGCTGCCAGGATTAGAACTGGCGACCATATGGTATACCTGCACGTTCAAGGTGAGGATTTCAGCTGCTAGGCCACCACGCCAGGCCCAGAAGATCTTTCTCTTTCTTCTCTTTAAAATCTGCCTTTTCCAGAAAAATAAATAAATCTTGAAAGAAAGAAAGAAAAGAAAAGAAAAAAGAAAAAGAGAAGTAAAGAAAGAAAGAAAGAGAAAGAAAGAAAAAGAAAAAAGGAAAAAACAAAAGAAAACAAAGACTGAGGGGGCAGGCATCTGACTTTGAAATAAAGATGAGGAAGTCAGAGTGACTGGGTTTGCTAACCATCTCAAGTTGCTGATGCCAGATTCCTGCTAGGGCAGACTCTAGGAAGAAGCAAATAATGGCTCAAGTAGTCAGCTTACCGCCACGCAACTGGGAGACATGGATTGAGCTTCTGCTCCCAGTTTTGGCTTGGCCCAAACCTGGCTGTTGCAGGCAGTTGAAGTATTAAAAAATGGGTGGGAGCATTATGTCCATTTAATTTGAGATTCCAGTATAAATGATGGGCAAAAACTGTCATTTATCTTTTCTGATGCCATTTACCAAGAATGGAAAAGCTATAAAACAGTTTATTATTTTAGTAATGTTAACAATGCTAATCAGTGTAACCATATGTAATAAAGTAGAGTTTTCAAGCCCTGGGATACATACCTTAAGATATTCACTATATTCATCTTCAAACTTCTTGCCCCAAATACTGTTTCCTCCTCTTCCAGTACCTAAAAAGTAACCAAAAAGAAGTATGCTAAAAAAGAATCCAATTTCTCAAATTAAGGGCTATTTTATTGTTCTTTATGGAGAAGTAAAGTTTGATATACCCTCTCATGCTTCCCCACATTTAATTTTACAGAACAGAAGAAAAAAAAAAGTAAAATAACCCTTCTTCTTATCATTCACATTTACAGGCAGCGGCTAGTAACTTTTGCTTACAAAATTCATGGTATGAGGTAGATATTTGGGGCAGTAGCTAAGACAATGCTGGGACACACTGTTCCTATACTTCAGTCCCTGAATTCAAGTACCAGTACTGCTTTCTCTTTTGTGTCCTCTTTTGTATGCCCTGGGAGGAAGCAGGTGGTGACTCAAATACTTGGGTCCCTGTCACACATGGAGATCCAAGATGAGTTCCCAGCTCTGGCCTTTGTCTTGTTCCATCCCAGGGTATTATGGATATTTGGGGAGTGAACCAGGAGATAGAAAATCAATCCATCTCTGACTCTGTCTCTCTGATTTTCTCCATTTCTCTGTATTTCATTATACAAACAAACAAAATCTTCTGAAGGATTTATTCATTTTCATTTGAAAGGCAAATCTACAGAGAGAGGAAGAGAAAGAGGTCTTCTACGTGTGGGGTTATTTTTCAAATGGCCACAATGGCCAGAGCTGATCCAATCTGAGGTCAGGAGCCAGGAGCTTCTTCTGGGTCTCCCACCTGGGGTACAGGCCCAGGGGGACTTGAGTTCCCTCTCCTGCTTTCCCAGACCATAAGCAGGGAGCTGGTCAGAAGTGGAGCAGACAGGACAGGAATCAGAGCTGGCAGTCCTCGCCCCTACATTTTTTTTTTTTAAGTTCTTGCTGCTGTAAAGTAGTTCAAGCATAAAAACTTCATGTGCTTTTATTCTTCTACTCTTTTCCCCTCCTATGGATACAATACATTCAATTTCTTGGATTTTAATTTATAGAAAATCTTACCTGTTGGATCTCCTGTTTGAACCATGAAACCTTTGATATTTCTGTGAAATATACAGCCGTTGTAGTAATTACTAGCACAAAGAGCCAAGAAATTCTGAAGAGAGTAAAAATGATGACTGAGAAATGGTGCAGCAGAAACACATTTAAGATAAAAACCAAAAAAATACCAATCATGCATTGACAATACCACAGAGTCTATCTTTCAGTTACTGCTTTAAGTCATATGAGTCCTCTGCGCCTAGAACACTTGAGTTGCTTTCTGGTGCCCTTGGAATAAAACACAAAATCTTCATCAACAGGGTCTTGTAAGCCCTGGTTATCTGTACGCCTTCTATCATGGCAACACCTACCTGCTACCCACTTCATAAATCCCATCAACATTCCAACCACCATCCACAAAAGGCAGACTCTTCTAGCCTAGGGACCACTGTAGCTGCCAATTCTATACCCAGAACGTTCTCTTTCTAGTTCTTCCATGGAATTGTCTTGATACCTCCGGAACTCAGCTTAAGTGTTACTTTCTTGATGAAGCCCAACCTCACCTTCTTTTTAATACAGGATGAACACACCTAATCCAATCATCCAAAATCTGAAATGCTCACAAAAGGTGATGCAAATATGTCAGAATTTGAAAACCTCTGAAATCTCAAACACTCCGCAGAAGGGATACTTAACCTGTAGTTTTTCTGTATCTCACCACTTTATTTTCTTCAAAGCAACATCACCTTTTAGAACTGATCTTGCCCCATGCCCATTTTCCCAAGCAGAAGGATAGCTTGATGAAGGCAACAGTGTCTAATTCACCGCAATACTCAGGCATACGAGGGGCCTTCAGAAGATTCAGGGAAAACGTGTTGTGCAAATATGAAAAAACCAGGCAAAGATTTTTAAAAACATGTTTGCACCAAAACATACTTATCTTTTAATTCTGTTCATCTTTCAAAGTGTGCTCATACTCCTAGACCTGGCATAACAGTCCTTCATAAATAATCTTTAAAGAATGAATATCTATGGCAGTTCTCTTCTTTCTACCTTGTTATTTATACAGGTGAAATGACGACTAGAACAGTCCTCCTGTAACTTAAGGATGATGTTTCCTGAGGAAAAAGATCCTTGACAACCTTGAATATAGTACAATTACCTCCTTCCCCTCTGGCTCATTTATGAAATGAGGAAGGGAAAGTGGAAATCAGACCAGAGTTCTGATGAGTAGCATGTCCTAACAGGATTTTACAGAGTCTTTAGGTGAGATGGTTCAACTTCAAAATGGTTATCCTGCTAATTGATTTAAATTTAAATTTTTACTTTTTATTCACATAAAGATGACAGATTTCATGCATTTCCTAAATAAATTCCCAAAAGACATCATAATTCCCTTCCTCTTTCCAAATCCCTCCATCTTTTCCCTTACTTTTGTTAGTTTTTGGAAAGATGTAATTTTAATCTAATCTATATTCATAGGCGTAATGCATCACTAACCATAATATTCAATAAGTAAAGTGATTGATCTCTAATATGTAAATAGTGTTACTCACCTCACATGTTTTGGGAGTCCTCTCACAGAAGATCTCTATTTTAATGTCTCCTACATCTGTGTGCAACGTCACAGACTAGAAAGGAGAATGCAAGACAAGTAAGATTTACTTCAATGACTACGTTCTATATTACTGCCTAAGCTAGACAGTAAGGGTGATAACAAAAACAGGAATACTGCTTCAGATATGTCCCATCCACACAACAGTGCTAAGAGATAAGCTATACTTCTTCCTCCAATTTTCTTTCTTTTTTAAAAAAAATTATTTAGGGGCAGGTGTGGTGGTGTAGCAAGCTAATCCTTTGCCTGCAGCACCAGTATCCCGTATGGGCGTTGCTTCAAGTCCCAGCTGTTCCACTTCCAACCCAGCTCTCTGCTTATGGGTGTCATTGTTGGGTGAAGGGACTACCTGAAAACGCCCTCTTATCCTCTTTTCTTTTTTTTTTTTTTTAAAGATTCATTTTTATTATTTTTTATTGGGAAGGCGGATATACAGAGAGGAGAGACAGAGAGGAAGATCTTCCGTCCGATGATTCACTCCCCAAGTGAGCGCAACGGCCGATACTGTGCCGATCCGAAGCCAGGAGCCTCTTCCGGGTCTCCCACGTGGGTGCAGGGTCCCAAAGCTCTGGGTCATCCTAGACTGCTTTCCCGGGCCACAGGCAGGGAGCTGAAAGGGAAGCGGGGCTGCCAGGATTAGAACCGGCGCCCATATGGGATCCCGGGCGTGCTGGGTGAGAACCTTAACCACTGCGCCACTGCGCCGGGCCCAATCCTCTTTTCTTAAACCTTTCTAATCGTGGAACTTAGGCTGAACAGACGGACATTCCTCACCAGCTTATCTCTGGTGGTTTTGATGGCCAAAGAACCCTGTCACCTCACCCTTGGTGACTTCAGGGCCAGATGGCCAACTCTCAAGCCAAGGAGGGAAACTTGGAAGAAATCCCTGGATCCCAGCTAAGGTTAGTCCAGCTCTACTGCTACAGCCATCTGGGGAGTGAACCAGCAGACTGAAAAAAAATCTCTCTGTAACTTTGACTTACAAATAAAATAAATGACCCTGGCCATTGTGGCCATCTGGGCAGTGACTCAGTGGATGGAAGACCTCCCTCTCTCTTTTTTGTTTTTTCTCTGTAACTGTGCTTTTCACAGAATTTTTAAAAAGAAATTCCTTTTTTTGAGAAAAGGCAATGGACATGGAAAGTGTGTTTCTATATCCAAAATGTGCCAAGGCAACCACAGCACCCTGTATCCTTCCCACTATATGACAATGCTAGTCCCAATTTTCACTCTTAAAATATTTACTTTCATCTACTTGAAAGGCAAAAAGTGAAGAGACAGGAATGGGGAATGGCAAGAGAGATTTCCATACCCTGGTACACTCTCTAGTTGCCACTCTAAGATGGCAGGGCTGGGCCAGACCAAAGTGTAGAGCTCCATGTGAGTGTGCCACGTAGTTAGTAAGGGCCCGAGCACTCCCAGAATGCATGAGCAGGAAAGGAGGACCTAAACTGGAGGCGTTAGGGCAAGAAGTGGTATTCCAATGACAGATGTAGGTGTCCTGAGCAGCCGCTTCACTCACTGTGTACACCACCTGCCGACTCAAATTCTTTTTTCAAAATTTATCATTCCACATTGTATGGTGTTATAGCCTATCATTTTTTCATCTTGACACGAACATTTCTAAAAACTACTTATCATGAACGATATTTATGAAAATCCTTTTAGTACTTACCATTTTTTTTAAAAATAATTCCGGCAAGTCCTATTTAAGTTCTCAGCGTCTTTAAGAGAAGCTCGAAAATAAATCTGTTTCCAAAGAAAAGAAAGAATTAAGCACATTGTCCTTTTTCTTAATTCGCAGAGGCTCCGCTTTACCGTCCATTTAAAAGAAAAAGCCTAGGCTAGGATGCCCAGGGAGCAGACTTCCCTAGAGTTGATTTCCTTATTAGTTTCGGGTATCTCCTCACATGTCAAGTCTTCCTACTCTGACAACCCTGCTTAATACCGCCCGACCCCCAGGACCTGCGCTATCCCCTTTTCCCAGATCCCTTACCACTCACCAGATCGTCTCCTCCTTTATTCCGGGGTTTCAACTACTCCGTAGTCGTACAGTACGTTCCCTCCGAGTGTCCCGAGAACTCAAGCAGTGCCGATACGCAGTTCAGCATGCACTTGGAAAAGTCAATGAAAGAAAAGAATGAAGCGCGCCACCCCAAGCCACTTGGGTGAGCAGACAGCATCCAGGTAGGGAGCCACCGGAAGTGAAGCGGGGGATCCATTACGGAAGCGCGCCTCACCTTCTTACCTCCCCTCTCCTCCCTTCTCCTTCCTATAGCAAAATATCTAACTATGACAGTAACTAACATTGCGGAAACAACATAATGTGTCCTCCAGCTGAAATTGGACGGCGAGATGCAGTTTTGTCACTAGAGCAAGAAGCCTAAGCCGGAACTACCTGGCCAACCTCCGGCAATGTTTTCCACACGGCTGTAAAACAGTGGGACCACTTCCGCCAGGTTCCTTTCCTCTCTGCTTAGTTCCGGAAGACTCGGGTTGCCTCCTGGCGAAGCGGTAGTGGTGGTCACGGAGACGTCCCGCACTTGTGAGTCATGGGTAGTTTAAATCCTTGGAGAGGATTGTGTCTCTGCCACAGTTTCTGTTAGGTATAGGGAGTGTAGTTATAGGTTGCTGCAGAAAAAGAGGATCGAAGCCTGCCGTGCCGTAGGAGGGCGAAGGGCAATAGCGGGGGTCACTAACTCAAGGATTTCCACGTCCTGATACTTCACTGGTCTTGGAAGAGGCTGAGAGAAAGACAGACCTTTTCATGTTGTGGGGTTGGCAACAGCAACCCCGGGGTTCACGTTAGGAGCGCGCCACGAGTTGGGCGTTTTTTATGTGCATGATTTACGGGGCAGAACTTAAGCAGTGAAGTGCCTTGCCCGCCGGGATTCAGTGTGCTTCAGGAATGTGCATCCTGTGCGGGGCACTTGCAGCTTCAGGCCATGAGCCTCCGGTTGGCTCCTGGCAGTATCTCGCCACCGTCTTTACCAGAACTCTTCGAAGTGGAAAGGACCCAAGCCTTCGCCAGGACCCGCCACTTCTTCTCTTTGAAGCTGGCCCAATTTAGAGGAGATTGGAGAGTGGATTCGTGTCAGGATATGAATCTGTAGAGTGCAAGTGCTGTCAGAACCAATCGCAGACCTTCAAGACCTTGAGTGGTTTCTAGAAGCGAGTTCCTGCCACGAAGAATGTGTTAACCAAGGGTGAGGATCGGGCAGAATAGCCAAGATGCTGCTTAGGCCGGTGGCCTTCTATTTTGGAATGCTTGGGTTCAGTTCCTTCTCTGATTCCAGTTTCCTGCTAATGTACACTGTGGGAGGCAGCCAAAGCTGGATTGAGTTCTAGGCTCCTGGCCCTCCCCTGGCTTGTGGTCATTGGAATAAAGTATGAAAATAAATAAAAATGTGCAAGAAATATATTGATTATCCAAGTTTTGTTAATTTTTTTGCACTAGGCATTTTTAAAAAACATTTAATTTTTGCCATTGTTGGCTTATGTTTGTTCATTAATTTATAGTTGGTTGTGCTGCTTATATTTTACTGTAGTAAGCAAAAGCTGTTATTCTCCTCTCGACAACCTGTGAGGCAGGAATGGTCTCCCGTTTTTACTTTACTTTTTAAAAAGATTATTACATGAAAACCAGAGTTGGAGAGAGATCTTCCATCTGTTGATTCGTTCCTCGAATGGCTGCAGCAGCCTGGGCTGGGCCAGATAAAGCCAGGAGTCAGGCATTCCTTCTGGATTTCCCGTGTGGGTGAAGGTGTCCAAGCACTTGGGCCATCTTTCTCTGCTTTCCCAGGCACATTAGCAGGAAGCCAGATCAGAAGTGGAGCAGCTGGAACTGGATCTGTTGTTGCTCATTTGGGGTGCCGGCATTGCAGAAGGCAGCTTAGCTCACTGTGCCCCATGCAGGTTCAGTCTCCACTTCTCAGAGGAGGAAGCAGAGCTACAGAAGATTAAATGGCCAGGTTAGCCTGAGATCGTGCTGGGTGTTTGAAGCCAGGTTCGTATGATAATAGTTCTTTGGCCCATGTGCTTAGAAAGCCGGCAAGATCCTGTCCTAAAGTGTACATGTGTGCTGTTTCCTGTGTTTTTGCTTCAGCAACTGAGTCCTGAGTGATCCTGTATGTGGGGATCTTGTATTCGCCTGGTCCCCACCACCGTCCGGCTTGTCCGTTCTCAGATCTGCTCTTCCTCCCGTTCCTTCATGGATCTGAAGACACTCATTTCCTCCTTGAACGACTTCGCACCTCTGTCTTTTGCGGAGAGTTGGGACAATGTGGGATTGCTGGTAGAACCGAGCCCACCACACACTGTAACCACGCTCTTCCTGACCAATGATCTGACGGAGCAGGTGATGGACGAGGCTCTGCAAAAGAAGGCCAACCTCATCCTTTCCTACCATCCACCCATCTTTAGTTCCCTAAAGCACCTCACCTGGACTTCGTGGAAGGAGCGCCTGGTGATCCGGGCGCTGGAGAACCGAGTGGGTATCTACTCCCCTCACACAGCCTACGATGCATCGCCGCAGGGAGTGAACCATTGGTTGTCCAAAGGTCTCGGTGAGAAGCCTCTTATTTCTCTACAAATGCTTTGAAATCTTAGGATGTCTGTCCAGTAGAATTTTTTTTAAGATTTATTTATTTTTATTGCGAAGTCAGATATACAGAGAGGAGAAGAGAAAAGAGGATCTTCTCTTCGATGATTCACTCCGCAAGTGGCCGCAACTGGTGGAGCTGAGCCAATCCTAAGCAAGCTCTTCCAGGTCTCCTATGCTGGTGCAGGGTCCCAAGGCTTTGGGCCGTCCTCTACTACTTTCCCAGGCCACAAGCAGGGAGCTGGATGGGAGATAGAGCCCCCGGGATTAGAACCGGCATCCATGTGGGATCCTGGTGCATTCAAAGCGAGGACTTTAACCGCTATGCTATCATGCCAGGCCCTGTCCGGTAGAATTTTAAGTGCTTTAGGGGCATAGGTGGGTGCTATTCTACTTTATATTCATAGTTGCTAGAATATGGCAGTTAAATTGTTTTTGAAAAATGAAACATCTTTTATCCTTACTGGGCAAGCAGAGAGTAGGAAGTCCCCACTGCTGTTATAGGAACTGAGTTTGTAGCTGCTGCTTCGTGTGGTCGGTGCTTTGGACCCAGGCGCGTGGAAAAATGCATGGGTAGAGCTCTCTCCTCTCCGGGTATACCTGGTGTGCTTCTCAAATAGATGCCTGGGGCTGATGGAGTGTTAGCTCAGGCTCTGCACAATAAAGGAATATTAGCATTGGTTGTTTAGCTTAATTTTAATGAATCTTTTTAGTTTCCTCATTGTAGTCTAGCATTGCTGATGATAAGGATCTTAATTAACGTGGTCAGACTATGAGCTTTTGCAATCTGAATCAGAGTTTAAAACTTAACAAAGCAATACTCACTTCTGTATATTATCTAAAAATCTGTGAGCCAGAGTTTATATGGATTCATTTTATTTGATTGAAAGAGTTACAGAGAGGAAGAGATAGTGATTTCTCCATCTATTGGTTTATTCCCCAAGTGTGTGCAATTACTGGAGCTGGGTGAGGTTGAAGCCAAGGGGCTTCTTCAGACTCTCCCACATGGATCCAGGGGTCCAAGTGGTTGGGTCATCGTCTGCTGTTTTCCCAAGGACATTAACAGGGAGCTAGATTGGAAATACAGCACTTGGGACTTGAATCTGCACCTATATGGGATGCTGGCACTGCAGGAAGTGGCTTTATCTGACAGTGCTGGCCCATATTTTGTTTATTTAAAAGACAGAATGACAGAGAGTGAGGGAGCGAAGGAGACCTTGCACAAATCTCCATAATGGCTAGGGCTGGCCCAGGTCCAAGCCAGGCACCAGGAGCTCCATCCCCCTATGCTTGGCAGGGTGCCTAGGGCTTGATCTGTTCTCCACTGCTTTCCCAGGCACATTAGCAGAAAGCTGAATCAGAAGTGGAGCCAGCTCTTAGTGTCCAAAATTTTCTGAAATGTGGGAGTCTTTTGGAATATAACTATAAAAGTCAATTTGACTTTGTCCACACCAAATGGTGACTAGTGCTACCTATCTAAACATGTGTATGTGTGTTTGTTCTGTAAGCAAATGAAAATGTATCATACAAAAAATACAAATTTTGAGGATGACATTCACCCATATGGTTAAGATGTCTGTATTCCATGTCGAGTACCTGAGGTCAGTATCCCACTCCTGATTCCAGTTTCCTGCTAATTCAGGCTCTGGGAGGCAGTTGAGTTCTTACCCCTCCTGTGGGAGATCAGCTCTGAGTTCCTGACTCATGACTTCCACCTGGCCCACCCAGCCCCAGCTGTGCTGAGCACTGGGTAGTGAACCAGCAGTTGGAAGCTTGCTCTGTGTCTCCTCCCAAGAAAGGGTACTCATTTCTTAGACATTTGCATGATATTTCATCTTTTTATTCTTAAAATGAAGATACAAAGCCTCCTGTTCATTCACACTTGTTTCTCCAGGAGCCTGCACATCCAGGCCCATTCAACCTTGCAAAGCTGCCAGCTGCCCTACAGAGGGAACCCACCGCGTAGAATTCTACATTAAGCACACTGAAGATCTGGACAAGGTCATGTCTGCAATGAAAGAAATTGCAGGTGTTTCTGTCGCTTCTCTTTCTGCTAGGTACATCTTTTTTATTTATGTATAAGGCTCCTCCTTACATACTGATAACCCTTGTACTTAGATTTGAACCAAATCACGTGGCCTGTGGTTGGTATACAGTGTAGCTGTGGTATATTGTGTGTATCCTGGCGTAGAGCATGGCCTGAAGCTTTGGGACCCTGCACCAGCATGGTAGACCTGGGGGAGGCTTCAGATCAGCTCCTTTCCAGGCACTGGGTCATTTGGGTAGAGAACCAGCAGTTGGAAGATCTTTGTCTCTCCTTCTCTCCCTAAATCTGCTCAGACTATCCAATAAAAATAAATCTTTATAAAAAATTGTTGATGAGACTTTCAATAGATTTCAGTCATGAAATCTTTCTATCATACTGAAATACTGTATAGATAGATATTGATAAAAAGAAAAAAATGTTTACAGATTAAGCACGAAGCACTGCAAACATTAAAGTACTGCTTATTCATTCTGTCCAATCCCAGTATCCGCATTCAGGTTGTCTTTTCCTTTGATTTCACAGAAGTTAACTTTCTTTCATTTATTTTAAAAATTTATTTTTATTGCAAAGGCAGATTTACAGAGAGAAGGAGATGGCAGAGAGAAAGAGCTTCCACCCTCTGGTTCATCCCACAAGTGGCCACGATAGCCGGAGCTGAGCTGACCCTAAGCCAGGAGCCTGGAACTTCTGGGTGCCCCATGTAGGTGCAGGGTCCCAAGGCTTTGGACCATTCTCGACTGCTTTCCCAGGCCACAAGCAGGGAGCTGGATGGGAAGTGGAATGGCGGAGACATGAATTAGTGCCCAAATGGGATCCAGGTATTTGGCAAGGGAAAGATCAGCCAATTAAACCATTATGATCATCCCCCCTGGGTATCTGTTTAAACACATAATAGGAACATGAAGAAATGTATAGTTTTGTTTTTTGTGGTCTCCCTAATTCAGTGGTACGATATATTTGTTCTTTCTTATTTGCCAGGAAAGGACTTATTTGAAACACTGAGTTGCAGAGAGGGAGACACCTGCAGTTTCTTTGACCTGCTGGTTCACTCCCCAAATGGCTGCAGCAGCCAGGACTCGTCCAAGCTGAAGCAAAGAGCCTGGAACTCTGTGAGCCCCCCGCGGGGGGCAGGAACTCATGACCTGGGCCACCTTCCACAGCTTTCTGGAAGTGTAGCTGACAGGAATCAGACCAGAAACTCGGGGCGCCAACTGCAGTGCTGACCCCTAACATTTCTTATTTAGTAGGATGTCTTAGAGGTCTTTCCATGTTAGTTTTTTGCTTGATGTGTCATGTTTTTTCCTGTGAATATACTGTTATTTCTTTAAGCATTCTTTCTTTTTTTTTTTAAAGATTTATTTTTATTATTTTTTTTTTATTGGAAAGGCGGATATACAGAGAGGAGAGACAGAGAGGAAGATCTTCCGTCCGATGATTCACTCCCCAAGTGAGCGCAACGGCCGATGCTATGCCGATCCGAAGCCAGGAGCCTCTTCCGGGTCTCCCACGCGGGTGCAGGTTCCCAAGGCTTTGGGCTGTCCTCCACTGCCTTCCCGGGCCACAGGCAGGGAGCTGGAAGGGAAGCGGGGCTGCCGGGATAGAACTGGCACCCATATGGGATCCTGGGCTTGCAAGGCGAGGACCTTAACCACTGCGCCACTGCGCCGGGCCCAAGCATTCTTTCTTAAATTGATGACTTCAGTGTAGCTCCAGTTTTTCAAGGTAAGAGATACCATCTAGGTTTTACTGAAGTCACAGGTAATTGCAATGTTGGCAACTGTGCTTCCAGGTTATCTTTAACATGTTCTTTAGTTCTAGAACTCTGTTATTAGAGAGATGGTGATTAAAACTTATTGAAGCCAGTCATTTTGCAGAGTCTCTAGGGCAATGCTTCTCAGAATCACCTCAGAAGGTAATTCAGGTACTTCCTGTGTCATTAAATATAGGACACTTACTAAAGATGCAGAATTTTCGCTTTTTCCCAGATCTTTATAATCAGAATGGAGTTTGCCTGGGAACCTGTGCCGGAGATTGTCATACTCAGTGATGTTTGAAAGTTATGTGGTGTAGGACTTTGAGAAACTTCAGTATTCTCCAACTCTTTTTGTAGATACTGTTTCACCAGATGTGTGGCATCATCCAGAAGTGTCATCTTAAGAAGGTAGCAGGAGAGCCCAGCGCAGTAGCCTAGTGGTTAAAGTCCTTGCCTTGAAGGCGCCAGGATCCCATATGGGTGTCAGTTCACATCCTGGCTACTCCACTTCCCTTTCAGCTCCCTGCCTGTGGCCTGGCGTAGCAGTCAAGGATAGGACCCTGCACTTATGTCAGATACCTGAAGGAGGCTCCTGGCTTCAGATTGACTCGGCTCCAGCCGTTGCAGCCACTTGGGGAGTGAACCAGCAGAAGGAAGATCTTTCTGTATCTCCTCTCTGTAAATCTGACTTTTCAATGGAAATGGATAGATCTTTAAATTTAAAAAAAGAGAGAAAGAGTGAGAGTAAAGATAGCAGGAAATTTCTGGTACGCAGTTGGATTTGGATTTAAGAATACTTCTAGAACAGTTGGTTTAAAGTGTGTTCCCAGGATTAGAAAGATCCCGTCACCTGGAACTGGTTAAACAAAATACTTTTTCACGTAGACTGGTGGAACCCAAAACTGTGGGGCATAGGAATCAGCACTCTGATTTTATTTTTGTTGTTGGTTGTTTGTTTTTTTGGTTTGATTTTGTTTGTTTTTTTAAGATTTATTTTTATTGCAAGGTCAGATATGCAGAGAGGAGGAGAGACAGAGAGGAAGATCTTCCATCCCAAGTGACCGCAACAGCCGGTGCTGCGCCGATCTGAAGCCAGGATCTTCTTCTGGGTCTTCCACGTGGGTGCAAGGCTTTGGGCCGTGCTCAAAAGCGTTCCCAGGCCATAAACAGAGAGCTGGATGGGAAGTGGGGCTGCTGGGATTAGAACCGGCGCCCATGTGGAAACCTGGTGAGTGAAAGGTGAGGGCTTTAGCCACCACGTCAGGCCCAACACTCTGTTTTAATAAATTCTTTTGAGGATTCTGATGCAGTATACAGTTTGAGAAACATAATCCTAGAACATAGACTAGTTTGGTTTCATATGAGTTCTGTTGGTAAATCCTCAGCATCTTATAACCTAATTCATTATAGCAGCTTGTATCCAAAATTATTTTTTTAAAGTCTACTTTATGTGAAAGGCAGAGTTAACAGAAAGGAAGGAGAGACGAGAGAGATCTTCATCCACTGATTCTCTCCCCAGATGGGCCAGGCTGAAGCCAGAAACTCCACGCATTCTCCCTCGTGGGTGGGAGTGATCCACACACGCAGGCCATCTGCTGCCCTCCCAGGTGCTTCAGCAGGGAGCTGGATTGGAAGCCTTGAGCAGGCTTCAGACTGTGGCCCAAGTGGGATGCAGGCAGCAGCTTAACTCACTGGGTCACAGGCTAGCCCCAGCTGTGTGTTAACATTGGTTATGTTCATCCTACACCAAAAGGTGATTTTACTTTCTAGGATTGATGATGGGGAACACACACGGATCAGCCTGAATTGTACCGAGAAGGCTTTGATGCAGGTGGTCGCCCAGCTCTCCCAGAACAGGCAGCTTTATCAGAGAACTGAGATTCTGTCACTGGAGAAGGTAACAATAAACAAACCAATACATAACTCATAATTTTGCATAAACTGCATTTTAACAGCTTTATAGAGGTATAATTTCCACAGAACTACACGTATCGAGTGTGAATCAGTTGATGTTAGTTTGTTTTTTTGAAAACTTATTTGTGTATTGTTGGATCAGTAGGCTGTTAACTGTTCCCTCAGGAAGTACAGTGGGGTGGTGAGGACATTCCATGTAAAGAATTTTGAGAAGGACATTATTGGTACAGAGAAGTCAGGCTACTTCTTCAAGTTCCTGCAGTTGTGGGTTTGATTTCTTCTTAGTGCCTGTCTTCATTCTTTCTTTCAGCTTGACAGCTGTTTGCCTGACAGTGATACCTATATCATATTTTCTGGCTCAGAATGTGTTGTTAGGTAAAAAAGTCAAAGAACCCACACATATATATAGTTTTTTAATGTTATATTTCTTTTTTTTTTTTTTAAAGATTTATTTTTATTGGAAAGGCCAATATGCAGAGAGGGAAATACAGAGAGAAAGATCTCCCACCCACTGGTTCACGTCCCAAGTGGCCTCAATGGCCAGAGCTGAGCCGATCTGAAGCCAGGAGTCAGGAGCTTCTTCCAAGTCTTCCACGTGGGTGCAGAATCCCAAGGTTTTGGACTGTCTTCGCCTGCTTTCCCAGGCCACAAGCAAGGAGCTGGATGGGAAGCCTAGCAGCCAGGATATGAACCAGAGCCCATATGGGATCCCAGCACATACAAGGCGAGAACTTTAGCCACTAGACTGCCATGGAAGGCTCAAGAATTAATATTTCTAATTACTTGCAGAACCTACAAGTATTTCAGGATATTTCAGGTGGTTTGGATACAAATATGAACCTTGTCTCCACCTCACTCTTTATTATCTTTTGTGGATTTTTTTTTCGGTTTCATTGATGTTATCATTGTCTGCCTTACTTCATATCTATAAGGTGTCTCTCCTCCCTGTTGACTGTGGCGCCACTGTAACTGGAAGCTCCACCTTCCCTCACTTGGAATAACCAATACCTCAGTGCTATCTGACCTGGGTATCTGTAGGCACAGTCTCGGCTTTTCAACCTGTTTTTTTGTTTTGTTTTGTTTTAATTTATTTTGAATTTTATGGTGCAATTCCATGGGGTCTGGAATTTCCCCCCCACACACCAAATTCCCACCTCCTGACTGATTTTCCCCATATTATTACAATAGTCTAGTCTTAACCTGGTGTTTGAAGTCTGTTGCCAGCTTTGCCTGCTTCCCCCAGCAAGTGCTCTGACCTCAGCCGTGCTCATTATTCTTAGATCGCCCTCCCAGGGTCTGCTCTCCTGCCCCTGCCACCTCTGTCCAGTTCCTCACGTTGGAGAACGCCTTTCCAACATGTCCATCCTATCCCTGTCCCCACTGCGCTTAATGGTCCCCCTCTTAGGTTTGTGTTTGATTTTTCCCTAACATGGTGTCCTTCTAGGATCTTTGATGGCACTGCTGCAGGTTCTCCCCCTTGAGTTCCAGCTCATTTAGTCATCCCTTTGTGTCCTCGTGACACTAGCGCATGTCTATAAATAAGGCTGTGAGCCCAGGAAATTGGAGTGGAATTGTCTAGTTAGCATCCCCAGCCTCTAGCCTGGAGTTAGCTTTAGTAAGGTAACCTTGTGCATGTTGCACTGGCTTCAGCATTTGCCACTCTGTACTTTTTCTTTTTCTTTTTTTTTTAAATATTGTTAATTGACATTTTTTTCTACCTCTGTTTCTCTTCAGCCTCTGCTTCCACATACTGGATTTGGACGATTATGCACCCTGGATGAATCTGTCTCCTTGGCAACCATGATTGAGCGAATCAAAAGACACTTGAAACTAACTCATGTTCGCCTAGCCCTAGGGGTAGGGAGGACCCTAGGTAAATAAAGTTCCTTCAATTGTCTCATACACCTACTGCCAACATTGGAGGAAAGGGCAGCACTTGTTTTGTTTTGATCTTGAAAAAAAAAAACACAACTGTTTTTCTAATTTGAAAAGCTAAGTGATAGAAACCATCCATCTGCTGGTTCATTTGAGTTCAGGCTGATCTTAGGAACCTGGAATTCCATCTGGGTTTGCCTTGTGGGATGCTGGCACCAAAAGCAGCAGCTTAGCCCTCTGTGCCATGATGCTTGCCCCTCTTGAGTTTATTATGTGAGGAGAAGATGTTACGAGCTCATGGGAGATGATTGGTTTATTTTATTTGTTGCGATGGGTAGGGTTATAGGGTGGAACCCATCTCATTGTTATATTACATGTTTCTTATAGTGCATGTTCTTTTGTTAATTATATTACATGTTCATTTCATCAGGTTATTGGGGAAGTCTGGTTATTGTAGACCAGTCAGTGTTGCATAGGGAGCAAGGGTTTTTGAGGTAAACTTCCTACCATCAGGTAAAAATTTCAGACAGGAATAACAAGCATGTAACCTAACAGTTAAGACACTGGTTAAGGGCAGGCAGATTTGCAGCATTCCCCAGGACTCAGACCAACATTCCGTGGGGATCCTGGAATCCCAAGAGACAGACTTTAATACTCTGTAGCAACACATACTCCTAACAAGTTATTTAGCTCTTCTATGTCCTTGTAGCTGCGTATATGAAAACTACACTAACGGGGTAGGCAAACAGACTGGCACTTAAGACACCTGCATCTCATATATGAGTGAAGGGGTTAATGCCCGGCTCCAGCTTCCTAGTAACGCAATAGCTATGGTCCAAGTAGTTTGGGTCCTGCCACCCACATGGTGATGTGGATTTCCAGCGTTCAGCCTGAGCTCCACTCAGCTTGGATCATCACGGGCATTTCAGAAGTAAACCGGCAGGTAGATGGTCAGATGTGTAGACCAGATGGTGTTCTAGAATCCTGGCTTTAGCTTGGCTCAACCCCAGCCATTGTGGCCATTTGGAAGTGAACCAGCATATGAGTATCTTTGTTTCTCAAAGTCTACCTTTCAGATAAACAAGTAACAATCACTTCTTGGCCTTTTGGCCAAGATCAAGTGTAGCATCAAATAAATAAATACACCTTGGGTCGGGGGCGGGGGGGGAGATGAAAAACATTCATGACAATTAATTCCAGAGAAAATGCATGGCAGAAGTGGGATTTGACTTTGATCCAACCCCAGACCTGCTACACTGCTAAAAAGTGGTAACTAAAGTGGCTACTAAGGTATTCATTTGAGAAACCTAAGCATTTAGTACTTGAATTTTGACTCCAGAGTTTCTGTTATTTACTTTTCAGATGATGCTCTTTGAGAATATACTGTACTTTTTTTTCATCTTGTTACTTTTTTTTAAAGATTTATTTATTTTTATTGGAAAGCCAGATATATAGAGGGAAATACAGAGAGAAAGATCTTCTGCTTGCTGGTTCAACCCCAAGTGACTGAAATGGCCAGAGCTGAGCCGCTCTGAAGCCAGGAGCTCTTTTTGGTCTCCGATGTGGGTGCCGGGTCCCATGCCTTTGGGCCATGCTCTCCTGTTTTCCCAGGCTACAAGCAGGGAACTGGAAGGGAAGGGAAGCAGCCAAGACACAAACCAGCACTCATATGGGATCCATACAAGGCAAGACTTTTAGCCACTAGGATACAGCGCTGGGCCCAGCATTTTAAGCCTTTTTAAGGCTTTCCCTCCACTGAGAACAGCTGAACAGGACCTCCCTCCCTTCCTCTCGCTATTGTCCAGAGGCCCAGGGAATCTTCAGTTACCCACCAGCAGTGCCACAGCACCTAGAGCTACACCACGAGTACAAGCACTGTTCCATGGTTAATTGGTTTGTGCAGCCACATCCAAAGGAATAATTGAACTGCCAAAGAACGTTCTGTTAAAAACTAGTAGTGGTGGTGTTTTTAGAATTAGTAATCAGTTTGTTAAACTGTGATGAGACGAGAAATGAAATGTTCTGTTTTGAGTTCCTGGTATGAATTATAATAGTCAAATGAAAGGTAACTGAAGTGTTGCTCTCTTGCTTCCCCTGCCTTAAAGAGTCGCAAGTCAAAGTTGTGGCCCTGTGTGCTGGTTCTGGCAGCAAGATCCTGCAGGATGTAAAGGCCGACCTCTACCTCACAGGTAGGACAGCTTGGGGTCTCTCTCAGTGCCAGCTTACTATTTTAGTATTTAAAAGCACCAGATTTTAAGAAAGAGCCTAGCATCTAGACGTTATTAATGTTTTCCGAAACCTGAAACAATAGGAAGGAGATCAGAGTTGGATATACAGTGTATTCATTATGGGGAGAAGTTGTTATTTAAAAATTCATTATTAGATTATCTCAGAAAATTGAGGGTGGGCATCTGACTTGGACAGTCAGGCTCTTTTAAAGATGTATTTTATTTTTCCATTGGAAAGTCCGATATACAGAGAGGGGGAGAGAGAGAGAGAGGAAGATCTTCCTTCCGATGGTTCACTCCCGAAAGTGACCGCAACAGCCAGAGCTGAGCTGATCCGAAGCCAGGAGCCAGGAGCCAGGAGCTTCTTCTGGATCTCCCACATGGGTGCAGGGTCCCAAGGCTTTGAGCTGTCCTTGGCTTTCCAAGGCCACAAGCAGTGGAGCTGCCGGGATTAGAACCGGCACCCTTATGGGATCCTGGTGCATTCAAAGCAAGGACTTTAGCTGCTACACTATTGTGCTGGGCCCTGTAGTGTCTATTTTTATAAAGGGAAATGAATGTGAGATAATTTCTAGCAATGCAGTTCAAAATGTTCAAGTGCCCTTTCTCTGGCTTGATGGAGAAACAGCAACTGTATGGTATGGGTAACTTGAGGTGCCCCTGGTCTGTGAGGCCGCAGCAGGCCTGAGAAGCACCCAGTGAAGGGCCGAGCACTAGCATCTGCAACGTTCAGCATCTCCTGAGCCTCTCCTGGGCTTCCTGTGTATTCAGTTAGTGCGGCTCTACAAACCTGTGCCGGGAAGCTCAACTCCTTAGCAAGCAGATGCTTCTCTCCCTGGCCTGCTGTGCTCTCTGCTTGCTTCGTCCTTTCCCACAGCTGCTATCCTGAGCCAGGCTTCTTTCCTTTGGCTTTACTTGTATTGCAGGGTCTTCACTGACTTCCCTGCCATTGCAGCTAGCGTGTTTATAAGCAAGCAGGCAGCCAGACTTGTCTTGCCTATGGGGGAATCTACTGTCTTCAATATTTTATTATACAGTTCAGAGTTTTTAAAAGGTGCTTGAAATAGAGAAGAGACATGTACTGGGGAGAAAGTACAGAGAATTGAAAATTTGGAGGAATTAAACTTTTTTTCTTAGAATCTTTTTTTTTTTTTAAGACGGTCACGTAATCATCGTGTTTTTTTTTTATGTGACACAGTTTTATAGGCACTGGGATTCCCACCACCCCTCCCATAACCCTCCCCCCACGGTGGATTCCTCCACCGTGTTGTGTGACCACAGTTCAAGTTCAGTTGAGATTCCTTCATTGCAAGCAAATACCAAGCGTAGAGACCGTCATCTTATTGTCCAGATAAGTTCAACGGCTTTTTGGAGAGACCTTCTCTGGTCTGAAGGTAGAGCCAACAGAGTAAAAAGCCAATCAATCAAAAGCCCAACATTGACATTTCCGCAATTGAGGTACATAACAGTTATAGGAGGGGTGTGCAGAGAAATCTTCGGTGCCTTGGTGAGAAGCACTTGCTCTGTGTCCTACCTAGTAAGGTATGTGTGAGTCCATGCTGACCAAGCTTTCCTTGTTGTTCTCTGTTTATCTATTCTAATATGTTTGTGTGTGTGTATTTGGAGGGGGGCTCTGGAGCAACCCTGACAGTCATTGCAGAGAAGGTGGAGACCCAACGTTGGAACTAAGTAAGGACAAGAGAAAGCTTCTCTCCTTGGTCCCGAAAGAAGTTTACTGTTCTTTTGATTCTGAGGACTGCTCTGGGTTCCTGGCTGTTGTTCTGACATTCTTGGATCCCACAAGGAAGATTTCGGGCTTCTTTCATCCCATGTTTCATCCTGGTCGGGAGGGATGCCCTCTGAGTTCACGGGCTCCGAAGGCATTCCAGTTCCCCGTGGTCTCTCGGCAGTTGGGATGCAGTCCTTGGTGCCCGTACTGGTAGTCCTTGGTGGGGATTCTGGAGTCTCCAGGTGTGGGATACAGGCTTCTTCCTGTCCTCCTGCTCCACTCTGGGGTCCACCCCTGCTCTGTGCATATGACCTCCTGTGGCTGTCAGGACTGCTCTTGGTTCCCCCTGTATATCTTTGTAGTTTAACTGTTGCCTAATGTTGTTTTGAATCTATTACCAATAAGTTACCTTTCATTTTCCTGGTAGGTTACACTATATGTCTTCCTCACACATTCTAAGGCTATGGAAGATTTCTTTGCTCTCCGTCCCATTCCTGATTAGCACAAGGTTTTGAAAGTGTAAAAGGTTTTAAAATTGTTCAAAACACATGGGTTGGGACAGTATTAATCACAGGTTTATCTGAGGAAGATTTACTGTCCTTGGGAATCTTTAGGATTAATTCACGTCCCCAAAACACTGTGGATTCAGGTAGAAGCTATCTAACCATCATATCTAACAACGAAAATCCCAGAGCTCCCTGGCCAGGCGGCCAGCATGCCATTAGGCGATAGGCTTTGCCTGCTGGCCACTCACTGCATGACTGCAGCTGCGGCTCGTACGTAGTGGGCATGGGGCAGCCGTCGTGTCCAGCAGCCTCTGCAGCTAGGCCCGCGGAGGTTTCGAATCTTTTTTTTTTTTAAGCAACAATCCTCATATGCAGCTTTTTCTCTTTTTATTGGAAAGCCAGATATCGTGAGAGAATGAGAGACAAAGATCTTCCATCCATTGGTTCACTCCCCAAGTGGTCACAATAGCCACAACTGAGCCAATCCGAAGCCAGGAGCCAGGAGTTTCCTCTGGCCCTCCCATAATGATGCAGGGTCCCAAGGCTTTGGGCGTCCTTGACTGCTTTCCCAGGCCACAAACAGGGAGCTGGATGGGAAGCAGGCAAGCCAGGATTAGAACCCGCGCCAGTGTGGGATCCTGGTGCTTGCAAGGCGAGGACTTTTAATCGCTAGACTGCCGCAATGGGCCTGTTGTAAAAAATTCTTTAAATCCATGTATAGTTTTCATAATACATATTATCCCTTAACTTTATGAAGATCTCTAACAATTCAAAATCATACTTTTCAGTGAATGAACCAATACACAGTATTTTTGGTTTTTGATGTAACATCAGATTCACAAATGATTTTTAATAATTCAAAACATTTTTGCTTGTCCTCCAACACCTTCACAAAAAATGATTTTTTTTTCATCAATAGCATCAGCATTTTCTACTTTCTAAGATCAGAATTTTCTAGTTTCATGTAAGGCAAAAACTCATTTCATCTTTTAGTTGGACTAGGATCAGGGCTGAAGATGTTGGTATTCAGAAAGGAAGATTTTTCTGGAAAGGATACTTAAGATTATCTAAGGTGTTTATTACCTATATAAAAAGCTCTCTGGTGGTCGTCTTCCTGACCAGTGATCATTAATTGTGGCAGTACTGAATGAGTATTACAGATCTGGGTCTGGCTGGATCTGCAGGATTAGACATTTGCTTGGGGTCTGCCAGGAAGTCTTGGTGGAATAGTGTTGGAAAATTAAAGTCATGTTAAGCAAATTATACATGAAGCCCCGATCCCCCGCCATAGTCCCGCTGACTTACACTGATTTCATGCATAGCACCAACTGGGGATTTCTGCTGCTGTGATTTAGCACTCTGAGGGTTCCATGCCAAGCACTGAAGTCTTGGTTCTTTCCCTTTTGGCAGGTGAGATGTCTCACCATGATGTTCTGAATGCTGTTTCCCAAGGAGTAAATGTCATCCTCTGTGAACACAGCAACACCGAACGAGGCTTTCTCTCTGACCTTCGTGACATGCTGCATGTCCACTTGGAGGGCAAGATTAATATTATCCTATCAGAGACAGACAGAGACCCTCTGCACGTGGTGTAAGGCGCACAGGAACATCAAGATGACATCATCTGCAGATCGCATCTCGATTCACAATGCAAAATGGATATGCTCCTGCGAGAATGTCTTAGGATGTACAAGGAAGCCTCAGAGTTCATGGAAATGTGCATTTTGAGAAAACAAGATTTCAATTCTTTTTCCCATTAAAATAAACAATTTTGAATTTCATTTTCTGCAAGCTTTTGAACTGTTCTCACATTATTTCTGGTCTATGTCATTCAACATTCATGAGGTAAAAACTGTTAACTAACATAATAAAGAACAAACATCCAGTAAGAAGGAGCAGCAGGAATCTGTTTACTTAACATTCTTGGGGAAATAAGCAAATCATTCTCTGATTTCATAGTTGGGACATGATAATCTAGATGTCTTTGTCATTGGTTAGTTTTAGAAACAAACTTCAAAAACATGGGCATGGGCGTATAAACATGGGCACAGCTTGAGGCAGTGGCCTGTTGGGGATGATCTGGTCTGTCTGTGGCCCCGTTCTGGGAATCCACCTAAATTTCAATGTCACCTATTTCAGAATGCAGACATTTATCAGGAAGGAGGGATTTTTTTTTTTCTTTTTAGATTTATTTATTTTCCATTTTATTTTTCATTGGAAAGGCAGAGTTACAGGGAGAGAGATCTTCCACCCGCCTGTTCACTGCCCGAGTAGCTGCAACAGAACCGAGCTAATCTGGAGCCAGGAGCCAGGAGCTTCTCCTAGGTTTCCCACATGGATGCGGGTCCCAAGGCTTTGGGCCATCCTCCACTGCTCTCCCAGGGCACATGCAGGGATGGGAAAGGAAGTGGAGCAGCCGGGATATGAACCAGTGCCCATATAAGATCCCAGCACATGCAAGTATTTAGCCAGTAGGCTACTGCGCTGGGCCCCTTGTTTTTGTTTTTTAGAATTTATTTAGAATTTTCATCTGAAAGGCAGAATTACAGAGAAAGGCAGAGACAAAGAGCTCTTTCTTCCACTGTCCCACTCCCCAAATGTCTGCAAACGCGAGCTTGGCAGGACTGAAACCAGAAGCTTCTTCTGAGTCTGCCATTTGAGTGCAATGGCACAAAGCTTTGAGCCATCCTCTGTTGTGTTCCCAGGCCATCAGCAGGAAAGTGGGTTGGGAAATCAAGCAGCCAGGACATAACCAGCACCGGTTTGGATGGCAGCACTACAGATAGGGGACCTTGCTATGCCACGGTGTTGGCATCAGGAAGTTACTTAAAAATGTACTATTTAGTGCTTCTTAGGTGATGTACCTCTAATTTTATAAGCAATATGAAAATATTTAGCAATATGGTCCAGCATGGTAGCCTAGCGGCTAAAGTCCTCACTTGCATGTGCTGGGATCCCATATGGGCGCTGGTTTGCATCCCAGTGGTCCTGCTTCCCAACCATCTCCTTGCCTATGGCCTGGGAAAATAGTTAAGGACAGCCCAAAGCCTTGGGACCCTGAACCCGAGTGGGAGACCTGGAAGAAGCTCTTTGATCCTGGCTTCGGACTGGACAGCTCTGGCCATTTGACCACTTGGAGATTGAACCAGACTGGAACATCTTCTTCTGTCTCCTTTCTGTGTATCTGATTTGCTAATAAAAATAAATAAATCTTAAAAAAAATTAGCTATGAAGATAAAGACATTTTACCAGGTACTCATTGGATACAAGGCTTCATAAACAGTAACAGTTTTAGTCCATAGAAACGGGTATATGGGTAGTATTATTATTTTACAGTTGAGGAAACAGTAGTTTGCTTGTCACTATTGTTATTTGAGCTTGGTAGATAAGAGAGCCATCTACTGGCCCATTCCCCATAGGCCCGCAGCAGCTCCTGGCTGGAGGCCAGCTATCAGGAGCCAGGGACCAGGCTAAGGGATCATGTCCTGCCTCCTAGGAAACTAGAATGGGGACCAGAGCTGGGTCCCTACCCACTCCAGCAAGGGACATGGGCATCACAAGTCATGGCTTAATGGGGCCAGAACCCCATCCCTCATTGCTATTTTTTAAAATTTAATGTGCATCGGAATATTTGGAAATTCAGTTAAAACGCAGACCAACTGAGTTTGTACAATAGGGTCCAAGTATTTTTAAGTTTCCAAATAATCCCAAGAAATGCTAATATTGATACTCTGAGGATTATACTTACCAACAAAAATATAGGGTAAGGCTTGAAGCCAGTGATTAAAATAAAAAAGCTATGAAAACTTGTAACATGCTCTAGGTTTTTTACTCATATTGAAAGTTGCATTTGGGCCCAGTGGGTAGCCTAGCAGCTAAAGTCCTCACTTTGAATGTGCTGAGATCCCATAAGGGCGCCGGTTCTAATCCAGGCAGCTCCACTTCCTTCCCATCCAGCTCCCTGCTTGTGGCCTGGGAAAGCAGTCAAGGAGAGCCCAAAGCCTGGGGAGTCTGCACCTGAGTGGGGGACCTGGAGGAAGTTCCTGGCTCCTGGCTTTGGATCAGTGCAGCACCAGCCACTGCGGCCACTTGGGCAGTGAATCAACTGATGTTAGATATTCCTCTCTGTCTCTCCTCCTCTTTGTATACCTAACTTTGCAATAAAAATTTTAAAAACCCTTTAATTTAAAAAAAAGCTGCAATTCTTCATTCTAACTTAACATATGAAGGAGGCTATAACACCTTTATTATACACCTTAATTTATTACACCTTTGCAAGTACATGTTTCATATCCTCACAACTTCTGAATGACAATATGTAGTAAGTATTCAAAATTACTTCAGATAATTTAATATTTTGAAAAGTCAAGAGGTGGGAAACCCTCTTAAAGGGACAATTAAATAATCACATTAAAACTGGGAAATGAAGTCATTTACTTAACAATTTGTCCATCCTTGGATTTGTGGGAGCCATATGATCTGGGTTTTCTGATACGGCTACTCAAGATGAGCCACACGCCCCCTTACCTGCCAGAATGCAGAAAGGTATATTCTGAACAGAGACTGGCTTCAAATTTGGAATTATTAAGGGGATGGGGGGCAGAGAAGAATGCAATTTAAGTTAGTGATTTTTGTTATATAAGCAAAGTCTACTAACCATTTCCCAAACCCACCCATCTTCTATATGAATGCTAACATATATGATGCTAAGAAAGGCCGAGTGTCTGAAGTAGGACAAAAACAGCAACTCAGTATTAAGCACATTAATGAAAGATAAATGCTCTGTACCCCTATGCCTTTTCTATCATGATAAGAGCACCCAGGACATCCTTCAGGTTTTCAGGTCTGCTTAGTATTACCAGAAACAAGTTAAAAAGGTAGAAGATAGTGGAGCATTGGCAGTGTAGACTTAACAGCGAGTGTTTACAGTGTACTGGTGCTGACACAAATGAACACGCAGTAATTCTGCCAAGATCTGTGCGGTGCATATTCATAAAATTTCATCTGAAACACTAAAAGATATTTTTAGTTTAAAAAAGGCAGCACTACAGATTAAAAGTTACTCTAGGCACACTGACTTTTTATTAACAGTGAAGTCTGCTTATACTGATGCCCACAAATAGATTACACACAGAGATTACAAAAATAAACCAGTAAATATTTAAGGAAAAATGCAAAATTTTACACATTAGGTCATTTAAGATTTTATACATATATTTATATACGTACACATATACTTTACTCTGTAACAGCTTTTTAAACTTTTTTTTTTTAAAGATTTATTTTTATTATTTTTTCATTGGAAAGGCGGATATACAGAGAGGAGAGACAGAGAGGAAGATCTTCCGTCCGATGATTCACTCCCCAAGTGAGCGCAACGGGCCGATACTATGCCGATCCGAAGCCAGGAGCCTCTTCCGGGTCTCCCACGCGGGTGCAGGTTCCCAAAGCTTTGGGCTGTCCTCGACTGCCTTCCCAGGCCACAGGCAGGGAGCTGGAAGGGAAGCGGGGCTGCCGGGATTAGAACCGGCGCCCATATGGGATCCCGGGCGTGCAAGGCGAGGACCTTTAACCACTTGCGCCACCGCGCCGGGCCCAGCTTTTTAAACTTAATATGTTAAGGACAAAGCAAAGTGCAAACCAGCAAATATCATCGTATTATCTATGTTTTTAAAAGAAGAGAGAGCTCCTCAGTCAAACTACTGCCAGTACTTTCCCCCCAAATGACTAGGGATCACAGAATGAGAGAAGAATTCGCTTTCATGGTCTATCCTTTGGCACTAATTTAAAACAACAACAAAAAAATCCTATTCATGTACAAATTTATATATCTTGATTACTTATATTTAAGACTGAACTCTTGATAATTTAACAAAATTATTTATGACAGGAAATTACTTTAAAATTTAAGCACTTTTGGAAATATTTTCATGAAAGGGATTTAGCAGATAAGAGATAAATGAAAAATGCTGATGCAGTACATACTTTATTTCAGTGATGTTTTAACAATATTTCCAACAGTGAAAAATTTCAGGGGATATTTGTAAACTACAAATTCAACACGGTGGTCTAGCCTAGCCTTCTGTTCTCTAATAGGCTCATGTAAATATTTAGGAGATTTGAAATCATGAGTTTAAAACTGGAACTATCTTATACTGAGGTTGAGGTTTCTATGACAGAGGCCTCAAGATTAATTTACACTCAATATCAATATGCTACTTAACCACTTTTTATTCAAGAAAAGAAAAATATGTCGATGTACGGTAATAATGAAATGTCATTTTCTGTTGTTTGAGTACAGCTATAAAATGTAACAAAAGGCTTTTTCCCCTTTAGCCTGGCTTCTCACTTGGATCATGAACATCATGGCACAGATATGAACTATTCCTAAACATAATCCTGCTGTTACTGTGCTTTCTAGATTGAGTATGCACATAAACTCCTTGTGCTTTTCTCACTATCCCACTGGCCCAAGAATGGAGCCTAAATACAACAGGAGAAAGCCAGGTCATTTACCTCTTCCCGGTCTGTACCTTTTGTGCAGTCATTTCAGAAGCAGAAAGCCAGGCCCTGTCACTTTGCATTACAGCCAGTGGTTCTGACACAGTACAGCAGACAGAGCAGACTGACCCGACACCTGTATCTTTGTAACTTGTACACTCTGGAACCAGCACACTTGCAAATAATCAGTCAGCCCGGAGAATAATAAAAAGCCTCTGAAGAATCACGAATATTATCCTTAGTACAAAAAATTTTCAAAAAACATCCAGTCCCAAATAGTCCCTGAGCACACTGTACATTCCCACAAGAAGAATCCAGAGGTAATGAGTAAAAGGCACATTTTCTCCAACTGGAGGACCACTGCATAGTGTGAGGCATGCTAGAGCAGCCAGGCTAGTCAGAAATTCTAATGGATGATGTCTCCCCTCTCAATATTCATCATGTTTGCTGGAAAAATAATCTAAGAGTGGATGTATACTTTCTACCAGAGGAGTGGCTACTGGGGTATAGCAACCCTTCCCGGGAAGGTTCAAGAGCAAAGGAAGGCTTCAAACTTCTTCTTCCTCCTTTTCTAAGAAGTCTGTCAATGTTCCACTGTTAACAGGAATTATTAAATACTCAACTCCATCAGTTCCCTAGAAGATAAAAGAATACCCTTTTAGTCATAATGGACTAAGTAATAAACTAACAGGCTAATAGACTAAATGAACTTCTATAGTAAGTTCAGATACACACACAACATTCCAGTAATGGAGCAATTATCACACCACTTTGCAGAGGACAAGGAGGCTAACCAGAGTTTGGAGGGGGGCATCTTATAAGCCATCTACTCTGCAACACCTGACACTACTGAGTTCTCCATTCTTTTCCATCTTTCGACCAGATCCTTCCCATTGGCTTTTTAAAGATTTATTTATGTTTATTGGAAACACAGATTTACAGAGAGAAGAAGAGCCAAAGAGGAAGATCTAGCCACTTGTTTACTCCCCAAGTGGCCACAATAGCTAGAACTGAGACAATCCAAATCGAGGGGTTGCTCAGGAGCTTCTTTCAGGTCACCAACATGGGTGCAAGGTCCTAAGGCTTTGGGTCATCTTCTATGGCTTTCCCAGGCCACAAGCAGGGAGCTGGATGGGAAATGGAGCAGCCGGGACATGAAACGGCGCCCATATAGGATCCCAATACTTACAAGGGGAAGTTTAGCAACTTGAGCCATCCTGCTGTCCCTCTCCACACCCCAGTTGGCTTTAAAATATGTCAGTTATTGGGCCCGGCACATTAGCCTAGTGGCAAACATTCTCACCCTGCATGTGCTGGGATCCCTTATGGGTGCCAGTTTTAATTCTGGCAGCCCCACTTCCCATCCAGCTACCTGCTTGTGGCCTGGAAAGCAGGAGGATGGCCCAAAGCCTTGGGACCCTGTACCTGCATGGGAGACCTGGAAGAAGTTCCTGGCTCCTGGCTTTGGACTGGCTCAGCTCCAGCCGCTGCAGCCACTTGGGGAGTGAACCATCAGATGGAACATCTTCCTCTCTGGCTCTCCTCTCTATAATTCTAGTGAGACAGCACTGTAAAAGTGGCTGTGCGAGGTCGTCTGAGATGATATGAATAGTAGTGTGGGCAAGATGGTGGTGCCTCAGCCTAAGGTCCAGGGAAAGTGGCTGGATTCAAATCATCAGTTAGGACAAACACACCTATCTTAAGTTTCAGAAGCAATGATAGAATGTAACAGTGCTACAATTTTACATGGGCATGATTACTTGATTAATGTCCACCTTCCCAACTAAATTTTAAGCCTCACAAAGCAAAAGCAGTTAAAATTTTTTCATTAATATATCCCAACAGTTAAGTGCTCATTAAATACAGAGTGAATTAGTGAACTGGGCAGGGGGAACAGAAAGGAATAGTTATTTGGCTCATGCTATGTCTGCTGATGGCCCAAGTCAATCTTTGACGCATCACAGGCCTTCAGTACAAAATAATCAGGTCTGAGTCAAAAGCACACTCGATCTTAAGTAAACAATATGCATTATTCTTGGCACATGTATCACAAAAGTAGAGCCATACCTTCTTTGTTCGTATGAGCTTGTGGTCCCTAAATTCAGTTAACTGAGCCCGCAGTGTCAGATCACTATTAACGAGGAAGGCTTCCCGACACTGCTGGTAAAAATCTTGAAAGGATAGTCCTGTAGAGTTCCAAAGGAGATGAGAATGTAGGTCAGCGTTTAAGATATGGCCACATACATGAGTACCCACAGCAAAGAACGCAAAATGAAAGTGCCACTGGCACGTTAAGGCAGAGCAGCCAGCAAGGGCTGCTAACACAAAGTACCTCTAGAAGAAGCCAAACTACGGGATGCTTAGTTATTGCACATTGTGGCTTTGCTTTTACAGAAAATTAACTGGTCAATACAGTCTATTGGGACAAAATGTGACATAATCCTGTAGAGAGTTTTAAATGGTGAGAATACAGTTGACCTTTAAAGAGGGAATTATTAAAATAAGAAGAAATGAAGAGACACTAAAGTGTTTGTTTAAATAAACACCGTATTTTTTCAGAAAGGAAGAAAATCTTCCAACCTGCCGGAAATGTTTAACTGGCAGACACACACATTCACAGGAAATTTTTAAAGCAGGTCGGGTTTGTCTTCCGACCTGTGCTGGCATTTAACTTGTTCAGCTGTGTAGCTGTAGGGTCACCTGGCAGACACTTACTTAGTGCTATGAAAAACTGCAACGCTATCATCAAAAACATTTCAGAAGGAATTTACAGAGTGAAATAATTTAATACCATAATGTAATATCATAAATATTGGATACCAATGTAAGACGGGTTATCCTGGTTATCGAGTTGATACTTTATTAGCAGCCTGAAAATCCCCCTAAGGAAAAAAAACAAACAGGAATTCAAACCTACAATATTAACATCAAGAAATAACAGTTAATAATAGTAAAACACAAAGAGAATATTGGTTCGTTTACATCACCCTCTCTCCTTTCTCCAAAGGACATTATACGCTTGCCTAGATAGTGGGAAAGGCTTACTTCCTTTTAAGAAAACTAGGAGGACTTTTTCTTTTCCTGATTATAGTTAGTCCTTGCAGAAAAGTTAAAATATATGCTTTCGGGCCCGGTGGCGTGTGGCCTAGCAGCTAAAGTCCTCGCCTTGAACGCACTGGGATCCCATATGGGTGCTGGTTCTAATCCCAGCAGCTCCACTTTCCCATCCAGCTCCCTGCTTGTAGCCTGGGAAAGCAGTGGAGGGTGGCCCAATGCTCTGGGACCCTGCACCCATGTGAGAAACGTGGAGGAAGTTCTTGGCTCCTGGCTTCGGATCGGCACAGCACCGGATGTTGCGGTCACTTGGGGAGTGAATCATCAGACAGAAGATATTCCTATCTCTCCTCCTCTCTGTATATCTGACTTTGTAATATAAAAAAAAGAAGTATATGCTTTCTATAGTGAAAAATATCAATCCCATAACAGTAAGATAATAACCATTAACATTTGTTGTTGAGATCATTTTATATAGGGTGCTATCTCAGATCTTTATAAAATGAAGTGTTGTAGAAATATATGCCTAGGGGCCAATATCTAGTATGGGTTTTGGTTTGTGTCCTGGCTGCTCTACTTCCCATCCAGCTGCCTGCTAATACGCCTTCATATATATGAAGCCAGATTGGAATCAGAGTGGCTGGATGTGAACTAATGCTCCAGAAGGATGCCACTCCTCCAAAATAGTGGCTTCATCCGCTGTGATACACTGCCCTATTGGCATGATTGCACAAAGGGCTCACGGGCATTGGTCACATCTCTGTTGCTTAGCTCTGATCCAATTTCGTGCTAATGGCCTAAAAAAGCAGTGGAAGATGGCCCACTTCCACATGGAAGCGCTGGGGTACTGCACCCAGAGGGGAGAACTGGAGGAATCTTCTGGGTTTTAACTTGGCCCAACTCAGGGCATTGTGGCCATCTGGGGAGTGAACCAGTGATTTAAGATATCTGTCTCTGTCTCTCTCTCTCATTCAGATTCCAAAAACAAATAAAAATCTTTTAGAAATGACCACTTCATAACAAAGTATTGCCATGGACCCCAGAGATGGAGTTTTGTTAAGAATCTTGATCATTCATACTCATACAGATTAAAACATGATACTGAGGTTTGCAGAATGAACTACAAGTGGGGAGTGAATTAGATGGAAGATCTCTCTTTGTCTCTCTTCCTCTCTGTATATCTGACTTTCCAATAAAAATAAATAAACCTTAAAAATAATTGTCCTGCTTTAGACAATAAATGATCCATTTACACCACTGGATTCCACTAAAGCAAATTCCTGGTTGCCAGTGCAGTTTCTAGACACAGAATGAGGTGGTCTATAACTTCAACGATCTTGTGGCTTTGCTTCTGTTTTGTTCTGAGGATGCATTTTTTTTTTCATCTATTATATGGTGTATGGACAAGAGAATAAAGTTGGAAAGAACCAGGTCACCTTGACCAAAGTGTTTCCTCATTACTCTTTTAAGCAAAAGCAATGGTCTTTGCTAATTTCCCCTGCTAAATCTCTTTTTCCCTGCTAAATCTTTAGCAAACAAATATTTTAGCAAACCTGTCCACCTCCCCCCAATAGTTATAATTATATTATGTTTAAATTATGATACAGTATATTCTGGTTTAGGAAAAACTGGTACTTTTTGATACTGTTATTCTTTTTCATGATAAGTTTCGTAGGTATAGGGATTCTACCATCCCTTTCCCAGGGAGAACTGCTTTTTTTTATAATATTCAGTCAGCCCATCTACGAACACAGTGCTTATTTTCATCTTTTTAAACTTAACTTTTTAGTTTCAACAAGGCCTGTTGTTTTGCAACATTTAGTTTTCTTAAATACAGTGCAACTCTAAAATTGTATGTTTTCTGAGAAGGCAAGCTGCTACTAACACCTCTTTCACCGGGCAAATCACGCAATTCAATTTTTGCTGGTTTGTGCTGCATCCAGCTTTTCTTAACTGTCAACAGTTCAGATATGCCTCTTGGTTAGCTGCTAAAAATGCTTTACCAGAGACCAACAGGTATATTAGGGTTGAAATTTTCTAACATTTACTATCCACCTTACTTGTATTGGTCAAATCAGCTATGTGACAGGTTCAGTGTACGATCATAAAATTCAATATGTAATTGAACATTAGCAAGAAATTTAAGTAAATCCACCAGAACTCTGCTTTTACCCATGTTGATCGCTTAGCTTCTCTTATTCATAGATACCACAATCTGTGGAGGAAAAAAACGTTGGCCCTTCTGCGCTATTACTGAGTAGCTTGCCTATTCCATAATCCAGTACTGCTGACTATTATTCCTATTTTTTCTCATTAACTCTTCAACCAATGGGGACTTTTGCATCACAATTAAAACCTCGGGAGTGCATATTTTAAAATGCACAATTCTGTATCTTCATTTTGCCTAGTTTTTAAAGAAACAGGTCTTCATATTTACCTTGCGTTAGGGGTGAGGCTTCGTAAGACATGGGTTAGAGAGCTAAGCGGCAAGGATCCTGACTGCTTAACCAGAAGAGAGTTCTCATAGGAGGTTTCTTCAGTGTAGTGACTGTATGTAGTAGCTTCATACCAGAGCCAGTTATAAAGACTCTGCTTTGCATGATCCCACACTAGAGCACAAGATGAAACAAAAAACAAGAATTACAAGTTACATTCACATTACCAACTACCATGTGCCACCTGCCACAGTGGAGGACAATGAGATAGCATTAAGGAAAACAAATGCTGAAATTTACTGCTTTTGCCACTTCCCCATCTAAATCAGCAACTCAGCATGTAATTTTACTGTGAGTCAACATTTGAATCTTTATTTATACAATGAATGCAAATTATATCGATATATCAAAATTGACAACTTAATGTGTTGTCCCTCCGGATAATCACCAAGTCTCTGATTGAAGGGTGCAAAATAAATATTACAAATATTTTTCCACAAAGAATAGAAAAACACCCAAACAATAATTGTTTTTTCTTTCTCATGTAAATTAAGTATAAAATATACCCTTCTTTATTATCCAAATTTTTATTTCCAGTTATGATGTTCTAAGTCAGACTGGCTACGGCTTTCTTTTGGCAGTTCGTGTTCTTACATATATAATAGGGAAAAAAATACAATGAAAAAACAAACAAGAATTTTGGGAGACTATCCTCAGAAAATGGAGAAAATGTATTTAACTTACTGAGAGGAGCATTGAGATGATCAATAGACGCTATCAGGTATACATTATGCAGAGACGAGAGCTGTCCAATAATTTGCTGGCTCTTGTCTCCTCTCAACATTTGGCTATCCAAATTGTGGATGAGAAGGAAAAGTTCTAAAGAAGAATCTGAAAGGAAATGGAATAATCCAATTATTCTTAAGATTTATTTTATTTTGTATTTGAAAGGCAAAATTATAGAAAGAAGAGAGGGACAGAGGGAAGATTTCATCCTGTAGTCCACTGCAATGGCCAGAGCAAGAACTTGAAGCCAGTAGCCAAGAACTTCTTCCAGGTTTCTTAAGTGGGTGCAGGGTCCCAAGGACTTGGGCCATTCTCTGTTGCTTTTCCGGGTTATAAACAAGGAGCTGCACCAGAAGTGGAGCAACTGGGACTCAGACTGTCACTCATATGGGATGCTAGCATGAGAGAGGAGGCCTAGCCTACTACACCATGGCACCGGTCCCCACTCATTATGTTGAATATTTGTAAAGCTGCAACAATGATTGGAAGGGATATATCAAAGTGGGATGCAATAAGATAACTGCGCTTCAGGCTAAGCAATCTCTCAGGAGATAAGACATTCACTCTTAAAATAGGCAAGACACTGAATTTATCCCAAGAATCAGGAGCCAAAGAAAGCATTTCTAATAAGGCACAGGAATCATAGCAGGATTAGAATATAACAGATTCAGAGTGCACTTATGCACATTGTTTTGTAAAGTAGGAGTGAAAAGAATGTCAAATAAGAAAAAAGTTCTCATTAAGCATTAAGAGATGATACAGAAACCCTGACTGTCACAAAAGCCAAGGCAAGCAACACAGACAGGGAAGAGGTCAAAGGCTCATTATATTTTTACAACGTTGACATTGTAGGATGAAGCTACCGACACCACCATATACAGCAGAGATCAAATTAAGGATTCCAATGGATTTTATAAGGAAATTACAGATGATCATCAAGAATACATTTCAGGGGCCCGGTGTGGTAGCCTAGCGGCTAAAGTCCTCGCCTTGAACGCATTGGGATCCCATACAGGTGCTGGTTCTAATCCTGGCAGCTCTACTTCCCATCCAGCTCCCTGCTTGTGGCCTGGGAAAGCAGTCGAGGACGCCACAAAGCCTTGGGATCCTGCATCCACGTGGGAGATACAGAAGAGATCCTGGCTGCTGGCTCCGGATTGGCACAGCACCGGCCGTTGCTGTCACTTGGAGAATGAATCATCAGACAGAAGATCTCCCTCTCTAACTCTCCTCCTTTCTGTATATCTGACTTTGTAATAAAAATAAATCTTCAAAAAAAAAAGAATACATTTCAGTAGCAAAATAATAATAATAATAATAAAATTACAAAGAAAATAAGGAGACAACTGAGGTTGAAACATGTTTTCAAACACTGAAATCAGATTTCAGCAGCTAAGACACTTCTTGATTTTGGAGGGTCTGTTTCAAATCATGGCTCCTGTGTTTTTCTTTTTTAAAGACTTATTTATGTTTTGTTGGAAAGTCAGATACACAGAGAGGAGAGACAGAGAGGAAAATCTTTTGACCATTGATTGACTCCCCAAGTGGCCGCAAGAAGCCGGAGCTGAGCTGATTCGAAGCAAGCCCTTCTTCCGGGTCTCCCACGCGGGTGCAGGATCCCAAGGCTTTGGGCAGTCCCTGACTGCTTTCCCAGGCCACAGGCAGGGAGCTGGATGGTAAGTGGGGCTGCCGGGATTAGAACCAGCACCCATATGGGATCCCAGCATGTGCAAGGCGAAGACTTAAGCCACTAGGCTATCAGGCCAGGCCCACTCCTGTGTTTCTGATTCAGCTTCCTGTTACTGTGTGCCATGCGAAGCAACAGACGGCTCAAGTATTGAAGTCCTTGCCACCCGCACAGGTAACTCGGACTGGGTTCCAGGTTGCTGACTAACCTCAGCCTGGCCCAGCCTCCTGTGCTAAGGGCACCTGGGAAGGGAACCAGCGGATGGCAAGTCACTTTCTCTGTTTCTGTCTACCTTTCAAATAAAACGAAAAGGAAAAAAAAAAAAAGCTTTTTTTTTAAAAAAAAAATTTTAAAGGCAACTTTAAAATCCGATGAAAACAGAAATAAAATAGTTTCTTTTCTGTAAAATAAAAGCCAAGTGTATTGACAAGTGACTTGAAAAAAATGAGACACTTGGTATATATGACAAAGAACAAGCCTCTTGAAGAACACCAGTAAATGTCTCCTCTGCTAGGGCTGGACGCGCAAGAATCAGTGAAAAATATTCTGAGACGACACACTCCGAAAAACCCCAGGTTCCTTGAATTGTGAGTCTCTGCACTCAATAGTACTTTTTTTTTTTTTTTTAATTTTTATTGGAAAGGCTGATATACAGAGAGAGGAGAGACAGAGAGGAAGATCCTCCATCCGATGATTCACTCCCCAAGTGAGCGCCACGGTCGATACTATGCCGATCCGAAGCCAGGAGCCTCCTTCGGGTCTCCCACATGGGTGCAGGGTCCAGGGTCCCAAAGCTTTGGGCCGTCCTCGACTGCCTTCCCAGGCCACAAGCGGGGAGCTGTATATCTGACTTTGTAATAAAAATAAAATAAATCTTCAAAAAAAAAAAAAGAATACATTTCAGTAGCAAAATAATAATAATAATAATAAAATTACAAAGAAAATAAGGAGGGGCCACCGGGATTAGAACCGGCGCCCAAATGGGATCCCGGGCGTTAAAGGCGAGGACTTCAACCACTGCACCACCGCGCCGGGCCCGAGTCAATAGTGCTTAAACAAACCAAAGTTCCTTTTCAATATTTTAGTTAAGGTAACAAAAAGCAAGCTGTCTATTCTAGTTAAATGAAATTCACTGGAAACTAATACATTGAAACAGGACGAATAAATTCCTTCAGAAAAATCCATATCAGCACTGAGATAAATGGCATTTATTAAGCTCATTCTTTTCTGTGCATACATGCTTATCTTCACCCTAAAACTATAAGGCATCTACTTTATGTTACCTTCTTTAAATCTGTTTATTATCCAGTCTAGCTGATCCAACACACTTCGGAAAGTTCCCACATAGTCAAGAACTTCTTCTGTAATAGAATTCAGGACCTAGATCACAAAAGTGCAACAAGTATTATATTAAGTACAACTTATTCTGTTATACATCTCAGTCTTTTCATAATCTAAGAATTATTTCATATCTTTTTTTTTTTTTTGCAAATTATCAAGTCTTGGGCCCAGCACAGTAGCCTAGTGGCTAAAGTCCTTGCCTTGCACGCGCAGGGATAACATTTGGGTGCTGGTTCTAATCCTGCCAGTCCCGCTTCCCATCCAGCTCCCTGCTTATAATCTGGGAAAGCAGCTCCCGAGGGCCCCAGAGCCTTGCGGCCCTGCACCAATGTGGGAGACACAGAAGAAGCTGGGAGCTCCTGGCTTCGATCAGTGCAGCTCCAGTTATAGCAGTTGCTTTAGGGAGTGAATCAATGGACAGAAGATCTCTGTTTCTCCTCCTCTCTGTATATCTGACTTTTCAATTAAAAAAAAAAACTTTATAAAAAAATCCTTAAACTTACTGAAGTGTATCTAATTCATTTTTTCCCCCATAAGGTATGGTTGAAACGAAATGGAAGAATAGCAAAGACAAGAATGGACAACAAAAGCATTTAGGAAAAGCCTGTAACAACATGAGGAAAATTATAGATTTATCAAAAGAAACAAATACACTTTAACAATACTAGAAACTATCCACAAACATCATTGACACTTTAAGAATACTAGGATTGGGTGTCATGGTGCAGGCTAAACATCTGGTCAGGACACTCACATCCCATTTCAGAATGTTGATCTGAGTCACAGCTACTCTGCTTCTTTTTTTTTTCCCCCACATGGCTCAGTGTTGCAGATGAGGTTTTTTTATTATTATTATTTTTTGTATAAAGTTAGTTTTTATGACTACATGGTTGATCAGGGTGGGAAGGATTGAAATTTAGGGAAAACTGGGTGAACTCACTGCTTCCCAATTGGCTAGTTCTTGTTGTTTCTGGGGGAACGGGGATGACGGAGGGGGAAGGCACTCACGACTTTCTGCACATCCCAGAGCTACTCTGCTCTCACCCAGCCTGACGCTAATGTGAGCAGGAAAGCAGCAGGCGACAGTCCAAGGGACTAATGGGGGATCCCTGGATGGAATTCTGGACTTCCGGCTTCACACTGGCCCACTGCTTCCTGCTGCAGGCATCCGAGACTAAATCAGAGGATGGAAGTTATAGTGATCACTTTGCCTTTCAAATCAATTAATTCATTCAGCTTCCTGCTACTGTGCATCCTTCCTTGGGAGAAAGCCAATGATGGCTCAAACATTGGTGTCCCTGACAACCAGCTAGGAGACCAGACCTGGACTGAGTTCTTAGCTCCTGGCTTAGCCTGGCTGTTTTGGGTCTTTGAGAAAACAAGGAATGGAAGGTATTTCTCAAATAAATCAATCTGTCAATCTCTCTCTGATTCCAAAAAAATGAAAATGATTTTAAAGAAAACTAATAGTCCAAAGGAGAAAGAAAACAAACAAAAAATTAAAACTAAAAGCCAATATTTGAGAGTCAGAAGTAGCATCTTTCTCGTTAGTGTGCAGTATGGATTGGCCAAGGATGTGTATTTGTAAAGTTACTCTCTTTATCATTTTCAACACTTACTGATTTCACAGTGATTCCAGGAAAGAAGCCATTGATGACAACATGAACAGAATCTTGCAGCATGGTGGTTCGAAACCTTTCTAGTAAATCTCTCTTAGAACCCAAACCATAAAGGACAATGTTGAATCCGAGTCTGTCAAAAAGATAATATTCATGAAATTAAAGCTCAATACCTTTTAATAACATCTTTAAATCAACCAATTCTGGGTTAAGTTCATAAGGAATAGGAAAAACCAGGCTAGCGAAACAATAAAATTATTGGTTTCTAAATTTATACAAAGGTATAATTTTATTATTGAAACAACAAGGTTCAGTTGCTTTCTCTCCAGCTTCTGTTGCCTTTCAAGTGACAGATGCCGAACAGGCAAGAGAGACCACGGCCAGCCGAGAAAAGCTACTCAAAATGTTTCACAGGTTGAGGTAGAGTTTAAATTGGAATGGCAAAAGGTGACAGAGGTCTTGTTAAACCACATTAAGGTGCTCATTAGGTTTTCTTCCAAGGACAGGGAGCACTTAAATAACTGATCAGGTGGTAAAGGCAACGTTTTTAACAGCAAGACTGCCGAGGAGCAAAAATTGCCAAAAATAAAGAATTTGAATTAGCTGACATGGAGGAAGATTGAAGGTGTCAAGAGTTTTAAGGAAGTTCAAATCAACAGGACTTGGAGATCGATTAGATGTGCGGGATATGGGGAAAGGGAGAGATTTTCTGCCACAGACACCGATAGGAACGAGGAGGGTACAAGGGGCAGGTGGGAATGATGGTTTCACTGAGTTCCATTTTACATACGCTGAATTATTTAAGGGAAACTTCTAATATACATTCAGATATTCATGTTTGCTGCTGAGGAGATGGTTCTAGGTTGGAGAAAACACTTATGGGAGTCATTCACATACACAAAGCAACTGAAGGCAACAGAGTGAATGAGTTCACCCAGTACACCAAGAAGCAGGGCTTAAGCTAAACCACAGTTCCATGATTGTTCACAGAGGTCAATCAAACAGTATTCATGTAATCATCTCATGCAGTGTAAGATACCCTAGAAATACAACATCCACACCTCCCTGCTGCAATGGGCAAGAATATCAAGACCAGAGCAATAGACACAGGCAACGAGATTTATAGAACTCAGAGTTACATTCATGTTGCCAACCATGAGGTCTATGCTGGGAAGCAAACAAACTGGCAGAGAGGATGACAGTGATGAGCTCTACATTTACATTGCAATGAATCATAGTTACTGAAGAACAAGCTGAGGTCACTGCAATAAAGATAATCATTATTTTTCTAACATAACTCTTGGACATAGTATAGGCAAAGAAAACCAGCATCAACTAGGGGCAATTATAATGATTTCTATCTCTTTACTGCTTAGATCTTTCTTCTTATCCACCCAAGTGACAACATAACTGTGCATGTATATTCACATCATCATACATTGTAAGCATATTTTCAATGTTACGGTCCTTTTTAATACAAGTAAAAAGGTAAATTTAAAAAAATCTTTGATTTTAATCACTCTTCCAACTCAATCTACTTTCCAACTTGATGGAAATTTAAAATTTAACCAAAGCTTTTGAAAAATGATAAATCTGAAAAAACATTCTAAGAAATAATTCTAAATTGGGTCCAGCGCAGTACTAGCAGCTGAAGTTCTCGCCTTGCACACACTGGGATCCCATATGGGCACTAGTTCTAATCCTAGAAGCCCCACTTCCCATCCAGGTCCCTGCTTGTGACCTGGCAAGGCAGTCGAGGATGGCACAAGGACTTGGGACCCTGCACCCACATGGGAGACCCGGAAGATCTGGGCTTCTGGCTTCAGATTGGCTCAGCTTCAGCTGTTGCGGCAGCTTGGGGAATGGATCACTGAATGAAAGATCTTCTCTATCTCTCCTGTATATCTGACTTTCCAAAGAAAATAACATAAATCTTTAAATAAATAAATAAATAATCCTAAATTGGTAAAATGTATTTAGACTAAGTCTGCTCATGAAATTGAAAGACTCTAGTACATGCACACAGTATTACATTAAAAGAAAATAAGCATAGGAACAGATTGTGGCACAGTATGCTATCCACAGGCTGCGACACCAGCCCAGAGCAGAGCACGTGAGGCGCCAGTTCAAGCCCCAGCTGCTCTGCTATCAGTTCAGCTCTGCTCATGAGCCTGGGAAAGCAGTGGAAGAAGGCCCAAGTACTTGGCTCTGGGCCACCCACATGGGAGACCTGGATGCAGTTCTGGGTTCCTGACCTCTGCCCTGCCCAGCCGCAGACAATGCAGCCGATGGGGAATAAACCAGCAGAACCCTCTTTTTCAAAGAAATAAAATAAAACGCTATCAAAACAAAATAAACTAAAACAGAAGCAAAAAGCAAAAACAAAAACAAAACACAAAAAAACACATTATTTCAAGAATTTTGCTGTGGAAAACTTGATGAAAATATAATTGGTGTATCTTTTAATCTTGACAAGTTAGGTTTACAAATATTTGTGAGTAATAGCAAAGAAGTGGTACTTATTTTACCAAGAGCTATCAAGTTTGATAAACTCAATGCACAAATTTCTGAACACCTGTATAACTTCGGAGAAGCCATTTAATGAAATTTCATTTCTATACATAAGTCATAACATTGGGAAAGTATTTGTTTTCTATTTATTTATATGCTAAACATTTTGAGTTCTCTATGAAAGAAAACTAAGTGCTAAATTACTTGGATTTAAACACATAAATACATATTTTCACTTACTGTAAAAGTACTTACTGTAACTGCAGCATCCACTTATGAAACAGATTTTCATATTGTTGATTTAGTTGTTTAAGTTCAGCAGGAAAGGAAGGAGGAACCTTGCTCAATAACTGACGCAAACTTTGCTTTAAAAAAAAGAACAGAGGTAAAATAATCATTCCCATACATGTACATCAATTGAAACTGACACTGTTCCCTTAGAGGTTGATGTGAGAAGAGCCAGCAGTACAAATATTTAATCAGGTTTGGCAAATAGTACATCAACTGATTATACATAACACTCTGAAAATCATTCAAAAATTTGTTTTGGTATAATTTCTAGCATTCTTTTTAGGACAAACTTACATTAGCAGCACAGACTTTGATAAGTGTTATCTAGGACCATTTAAATAATTATAAATTCCAACTATATAACTTGATTTTTTAAAGATTTTATTTTTTATTACAAAGTCAGATATACAGAGAGAAGGAGAGACAGAAGGAAGGTCTTTCATCTGATGATTCACTTCCCAAGTGACCACAATGACCAGAACTGAACCAATCTGAAGCCAGGAGCCCGGAGCCAGCTCTTCCAGGTCTCCCATGTGGGTGTAGGGTCACAAGGTTTTGGGCCATCCTTGACTGTTTTCCCAGGCCACAAGCAGGGAGCTGGATGGGAAGCGGGGCTGCCGGGATTAGAACTGGCGCCCATATGGGATCCCAGCACGTGCAAGGAAAAGACTTTCACTGCTAGGCCACCATGCTGGGTCCAGACTTAAACTTCTGTAAAGATCAATACTATAAGATGATTAAACCTGCCTCCCAGGCTTCACAGAAATTCCAGACAGACTTTTTTTTAAAAAAGAAAAAAAAAAAAAGACTATTTTATTGGAAATGCAGATCATATTTGTGGAGAGAAGGAAAGGCAGAGAAAAGGATCTTCCATCCGGTTGTTCACTTCCCAAATGATCTCAACGGCCAGAGCTCAGCAGATCCAAAGTCAGGAGCCAAGAGCATCTTCTAGGCCTCCAATGTGGGTGAAGGGCCCAAGTCATTGAGCTGTCATCTACTGCTTTCACAGGCCATAAGCAAGGAGCTAAATGGGCAGTGAAGCAGCTGTGGAACACAAACTGGTGCCAATATGAAATCCTGGTGCTTGCTAGGTGAGGATTTAACCATTGAGCCATTGCGCCAGGCCCAGGCAGACTTATAAGCCTAAATGGGTTGTACCCTACACAGTATCTCAATTTGCTAATCCTCCTCCTGCAAGCTCAGGATCACACGTGGGCGCCAGTTTGTATCCTGGCAGCTCCAGCTTCCTGCTCGTGGCTTGGGAAAGTAGTCGAGGACGGCCCAAAGCCTTGGGATCCTGCACCGTTTGAGACCTGGAAGAGGCTCCTGACTCCTGGCATTGCATCGGTGCAGCTCTGGCCATTGCAGCCGCTTGGAGAGTGAATCATTGGAAAGAAGATCTTCCTCTCCTTATCTCTTCCTCTCTGTATATCTGACTTTCCAATAAAAATAAAATTAAAAAATTTTTTTTAAAAAAAGCTCTGGCAAATATCATATGTTTGAAAAGTAAATTTGGGCCCGGCGCAGTGGCGCAAGTGGTTAAGGTCCTCGCCTTGCACGCCCGGGATCCCATATGGGCGCCGGTTCTATCCCGGCAGCCCCCCTTCCCTTCCAGCTCCCTGCCTGTAGCCCAGGAAAGCAGTCGAGGACGGCCCAAAGCTTTGGGACCCTGCACCTGCGTAGGAGACCCGGAAGAGTCTCCTGGCTTCGGATTGGCATAGCATCGGCCGTTGCGCTCACTTGGGGAGTGAATCATTGGATGGAAGATCTTCCTCTCTGTCTCTCTGTGTATCCGCCTTTCCGGTAAAAAAATAATAAAAATAAATCTTTAAAGAAAAAAAAGAAAAGTAAATTTAAAAAACATTAATAAATGCTAATTAAAGGAGATAAATTGCCCTGCAGCCAAAACTCAGAATTTATGCTGCTCAAAAGAAGCTTATTTTTTTTAATGAAAACTATAGCAACAAGTTTTATATGAAGCTTTGCCCAGGTGCCACCAAGTGTTCAATATTCTATCTTTAAAGTACATTTTTGTAAAATTATTTCTATTATTACAAAGGCAGATATATAAGGAGAAGAAGATGGAGAGAAAGATGTTCCATCTCCTGGCTCCCACAGCAGGGACTAAGCTGGTCCAAAGCGAGAATTTAGTCACTAGGCTATCATACCAGGCCCAAGTAAATGTTTTAAAAACAGATTTGTTAATTTATTTCAAAGGCAGAAATTAAGGGAGGAAAAAGTCAGAGACAGAAAGAGAATCTTACATTTGCCAGTTCACTACTTAAAGATGTCAAGAGCCAGGGCTGGGCTAATCAAAAGACAGGGGCCTGGAGCTCTATCCAGGTCTTCCAGGTGAATACAGGCATCCAACAAAGAGGAATCTTCAGTCAGGACCTTCACTGTGCTTATATGGGATGCTGGGATTGCAGGCAGCAGCTCAACTGGCTCTGCCATAATGACAGCACCATAAAGTAAAACGTAAAAAACATTTAAACATTTATTTTTTGGTGTTTAAAATGCAGAGAGAAAGAACTATGAACTGACATCTTCTCTTCATTGGTTCACTGCCTAAATGCTGGCAACAGCCAGAGCCAGGGTTAGGCACTCCCCATATGGGTGGAAGAGACTGAATTATCATCCGCTGCTTCATAGGGCGTGTATCAGCATGAAGCTGCAATGTTACTCAACCAGGACTCAAACCTAGGCACTTTGACATGGCAGCCATGTATCCCAAACCACATCCTAACTGCTGTACCAAGTTCCTGCTCCCTAAAATATTTTTTAATATCAAGATCAAAGCTGCAATGTAGGTCCTCTGATCAACATAGTTTTTATTTGTCCAGACAGTTAAAGAGAAAAAGGGCAACATGTAAGAAAAACTATGGGCTGGGAAAACTGTAGAGCAGGGCCCAAAGCCTTGGAACCTGCATCCATGTGGGAGACCCAAACGAAACTCCTGATTCCCGGCTTCAAATTGGCTCAGCTACTGCCATTGTGGCCACTTGGGGAGTGAACTAAGGAACAGAAGATTTTCTCTCTGTCTCTCCTCTCTGTAAAATCTGTCTTCCCAATAAAAAGACATCCTCCTATTCCTTCTGAAGTTTATAGCCCAACTACTGGCAGCATTTCCACTCATTTATATTGGACACACTTGAATGTAAACTCCAGAATGTTAGAGTATCTATGCACTTTTACTTCAAACTTTGACATCCAGGAAGCTTTACAACCTCAATTCTCAGTCCTCCCTTTGTCACCTGCCTTTGTAGACCTTCCCAACAAAGGGGTGAAGTAGTTACCTGACCTTTGATTTTATTTAGTCAGGTGTTTCACAAAGGCCAGGAGAATAAGACGGAAGTTTTGAATCTCAGATTTAAAAAACCATATGGTTTTCTGTCTTACACCTTTGCCATTCGCAAGAGGGAAAACTTCTCAGCTCCAATGAGAAAGAGACATGAAGCAAATTCTAGGTCAGCCACCCCTGGCTGACCCACACAGGATTAAAAAAAACGGCACCATCCCATGCTGCAGCATCGCTCAGATACGTCATGAACAGCCTCCCCTCCTCCAGCAACATGCTTACTTCCTGGAGATCTTTTGCCTCAAGGTCCTAGGAGGTTCCACTTTGACTCCAGATTAATCCTTCTCCCATGTTACTCTGCACGAATGTCAGTGTCATTTCTTCCTCGAACTTACCTTCTTGACAGTAACATTCCGCTAGATAATACCAACAACACGCAACATCAGCAAAACCCAAGTCACTGTGACTGTTCAGGTGACAGAACCTTATCCCAAGTTCTCTTTTCTTTCATATACTTCAAAAGCACCACGATGCACTTAAGAAAATTCACTAAATTCTGATTTGCACAGTATACTATAATCTTCAGTCATTGTCAAAATGAAGTCTAATTCAATGATTGTTTTTGTCCAATAAAAATGTAATAATTATAATCACATTAGCTGTTTCATTTAACAAGGATAACTCTACTTGTGTACATTTAATCTTCAGATTTGCTACTTACGTTTTACATTTTTTAGGTTACAATAAAAAAAAAACTCTTTCTAGGGTCCAGGTTATTGGGCCCAGGACCTTGGCCTGCCAGTGAAGTGGGTGCCAGATCTGTGAACCCCAGGGATGGGGTGGGAGCCCGGGTCACTTGGCACGGTCCTTGGCCCATCTGCACAGTGGGTGCCAGTTCCATGACTCCTGGGTGTTTGGGGCGGTCCTTGGCCCACCTACGAGAACTGGTCCTCCTTAGTATGAAAGAAAGAGTGGTACACAGCTGGCCCAGATCCACATGGAGGATATGGCAGTCCACTGAGGTCTGAAGAAGAAATCTATACCAAGCCAGATGAAAGAAGAGAGAACAAACTGGACAGCTATGACAGCAAACATCTGGGCGAATGGAGACTCTGAAGTCAACTATGCCAACCAATGGACAATGATAGGGTTCCTACATCCTTAGGCAAAATCAACATTTCAGAACTATGAAATCACCTGGGCAGAATCATCGGTGCGTGTGCCACATTGGGACCATGGGTTGATATGCGTAGCCATTCCCCATTCCTGCGTACTGGGGTGGTTGGGAGGCTTGGTATGGCTTCTTCTTTTATACCCTTCCCCCTCCCCTCAGAAACAGGAAGAAATAAAGTTTGGAAAAAATTATCACACTCACTTTTCCCTAACCCTTGATCCATCCCACCCTGATTAGCTATTTTAACATCATCTAAAATTAAAAAAAATTTTAAAAAGAAATGGAAATGTGTATTATGAAAAAAATAAACTACATACAGATTGAAAAAGAAAAAAACAACTCCTTGTAACATACCTGATCGAGTTTATCTCTCTTTAGCTTCTGCAGTGTTCTATCAGAGGTTAAAACTTTTGAACTACTGTGAGCTTCAAAATATTCTTCTACTAAGTCACTCTGAAAGTGAAAAGAGTAAATGTAGTTATTATTAGTTTCAGGTGTCTTTCATCAAAACCAGAAAATATTCATGCAAAACAAGATGTGTAAAACTATTTCAATAGTATTTTCTTTCAAAAGCATTTAAATTATGGACTGAGGGTACTTAATTCCATTAACAGAGTAGCCCTGAAAACCATACATGTTAAAAGAGATAGTGATGATTAAAAAAAAAGCAACTTGTTCCTAAAATTTGTTGTTATAATACATGATATCCCTTTAGACTAAGTATTAAAATGGATTTACAGGATCTTTGTTTCTCCAACAGTCCTAGCAATTCCTTTAATACTAGTATGATTGAAATAGCACGAGTATGAGGAAGAAATCAAGAGCAAGTTGGAAAAAAAAAAGCAGGTTTCCTACTATTACAGTATAATGGTCTATTCTGACCCTTTGTAGGAGTAATGCCTGGGACGGCAAGGAAGGTAGGCTCCCTACATTGCTCTGAACTGTTACAGAGAATGCCAGAATAACAAACTGGCTTTTTCTGAAGCTAGAATGCTCACAATGAGCTTGTAAAAAGTTCAACATGGAACTATATCATTGACAATGTGCCCTGACTGGCCTACATCAGTGTTATAAGAACAAAACCCTATAAAAAAGGATACACTGAGCAGTTTTGCCTCTAAATGTCCAACTGGTACTGATATGAAAGTACATATTTAAACAGCTGAATTCAGATATCACTATTAGCATTTACTATGGGACTGATGTGTGAATATGAAGATGAGCCAGAATTGAAAGCCCAGAAATGAAAACATATACATGTGTTAAATAACAATGAGAAAGTATAAACAGGTAAAAACAAAAACAAGAACCAGTGTTGATCCCTGTTCTGTGCTTCTTCTGTTAGAGTGGCTGAACTTTATGGTTTTACACAATTGTTCTGTAAGTCTCAAGTCTTTCTCTTCACTTACTGTTTTCTCTCTTTTCATTTTCTTAGAAGCCGTTTCTTTGCAAACAGAAGCTGAAACTACTCTATTCTGTGCTTCACTCTTTTGGCTGCCTACGAATGTCTTACTGTCTTCTTCAGATTCCTGGGCAACCTCTTCCTCATCCTCTGAGTTGGAAGCAGAATATTCACTTTCACTCTCAGAATGAGACCTTGAAACTGTGGAGCGAAAAAAAAAAAATCAGGAAAATTTAACAGTTTGATAAGAGGCATTGTAGGCTATGGAAATCACATGGATTTTGAAGTACCAAAGTCTAAGTCCTGGGTTCATTATTACTAGTGCATGATTTTTACCAGAGCTGGTTGTGTAAATCCTAACCACTGGTTTCCTCATTTGTCAGAAATAACAGTGCCTAACTGGTAACCACTGCAAAGACTATACTAAAATGTATCTGTAACAACTAATAATGCCTGATACACAGGAATGTGGTAGAAATTGTCAATAATATCTAACACTATTCTCCTTTCCAAGAGATTTCCATTTGACTCCATATGGCACTATGTCCTACCCTCTCAGATGAATCATGGTGATCCCTCTTTCCCTCTGCCAAAATTTGCATTCCCTGCCTTCCCTGAAAGTAGGATTGCCTACATAATCCTTTGGCAGTGACACTTCAGAGGCTATTTCCTGGAAGCTTCTGGAAAAGGCTTCCTTTGCTTAGGGAAGAGCCCTTAAAAGCCTCGGAAGCTATTCATTCTGCAACATGAAGTATCAAACCTGAAGTTGAAATATGCTAGTGGCACAGTAAAAAAGACGCATCCTAGGTCCTTAATAACATTGCTGAGTTACTACATCAATCACAGAATTCATGTGCAGATTTCTTGCAATGTGAGATATTTAAGTGTCTAGGGTTTAAACTACTACTCTGTTATTGACTACTGAAACATGCCATCCTACACAGCACTGATCAAACAGCAGCTACTAGTACAACAACTGCTAACACATGGGCACGTACCATTCCAGAACTGATTCCAGAACTACAGCTACATCCACAACTCTCCAGAAACAATACAGTTATACACTTATCAAATAATAAGTATAAAAGCATTTTTACATGTTAAATATGAGTGAAGCAACTCTACCAAATTAATTTATTCTGAACATACACACTTCAGAGAATTATCTAGAGTCAGCACATACAAGCTTAGGTGCTAGAGGGGGAGTGAGGAAGCAGCACTGACACAGCAGGTTAAGCACTGAGATGTAGGCGTCCCACATCGGAGTGTCAGGTGGAATCCTAGCTATTCCTCTGATTCTGATTCAGCTTTCACTCATGTTCTTGAGAAGGCAACAGAAAATGGCCCAAGCACTTAGGTCCCTGCCATCCATGAGGAAGATGAGGATGAAGCTCCCGGCCCCTGTCTTCAGCCCAGCCCAGATTAGACTGCTGTGGCCAAGGAATGGAGGATCTCTGTCTCTTTCAAATGAATACATAAGTCTTCCGAAAAAGAACAGAAAGTTCACCTTTTCTCCGAACAAAATTATTCTTTGTAGTAAGGAAAAATATGAGGGGCCTCAAAACTTTGTTCTTGGTGCAAAAAAAAAAAAAAAAATTGAAATTCATGCATGGATTTTCCATAATATGTATTTTCCATGAACTTTCTGAAGATCCTTGCATAGGACACAGGATGCATCTGGCATGAAATAATAATTTCACATGTTATCTTTTATTGCTGCAGATACTCAATTTTTTTTTCTGATTATCATTTTTATGCTGACTAAAAATATAGTGCTTGGAAAGGTATTCAGATACCAAGGGAGAAGCCTGTTTCCCAAACTGGTTTGATCCCTGGCTTTAACTCTTGACTCAGGCTTCTCCTGGTGCTGACCTGGAGAGGCAGCAATGAAGGTTGTAATGGCTGAATCGGGACACTGACATGGGAGACCTCGCTGGGTTCAAACTGAACTGACCCCAGTCTTTACGGGTTTGGGGGAGTTGAGCAGCAGATGGGAGAACTCATGTGTGTGCGTGTGTGTGCATCTAATTCTCAATAAATAAAATAAAAAGCAGCATTTAAAAGTGAAAAGGGGGTGGTGTTGGGGCACAGCATGATAAACTGCTGCCTGGGATTAGCAGCACCCCATGTAAGTGCTGATTTGAGTCTTAGGTGTTCCACTTCTGACCTAGCTCTTTATCATTGAACTTGGGAAAGGAGCAGAAGATGATCGAAGGACATGGGCAACTACTACTTATGTGGGACACTTGGATGAAGCTCCGGGCCACAGCATGGTCAAGTACTGGTTGTTATGATCATTTGAGCAGTGAGCCAATCAGTAAATGGACTCTCCCGAAGGTTATCTCCCCCACTCTCTTAACTCTGCCTTTCAAATAAACAATTTTTTTTGTAACAAATGGGAAAAGGGGGGATTAATGGAAAAAAGGATTAACAGCTCTATGAAACAATTATCTTAAAAATAAAGTAATATAGCTTTGAAGCCCTGATGTTCAATGCACTTTACAACATTAGCCAATTATTACTGTCAAAGGGATAAGCATCACCAGTGGATTCTGGAGAGGTTTCATTGTGGTTGGAATAGTGAGACTGGCAGCAATTCAGAACTGTTGAACTATCAAAACCACTTGAGCAGGACCCTCAGAGCATGCCCCAGTATCAGGGACCTTGGGATGGTTGTGAGGCTGGGTGTGACTGTGTGACTTCTCCCTTTATCTACCCGCTTCCCCGAGACACAGAAGAAAAAAAAAAAAGAATATGGGAACAAAAGTCTTACCCACTTTCCTGTAACCCTTGAGCCTTTGTGCTATGTAAAGAACATCAAAATAAAATAATTTAAAAAAAATTTTTAAAGGGATAAACATCAAGAAAGGGGACATCTTTCTGAAACAGAGAGGTCCATAAGTTATGTGCTCCACAATCTAAACTTACTTTTAACTGAGCAGAAAATAGAACCCACCTTTATTAACCTTAGTTTGTATGGCATTCAGTCAGGCAAGAACGTTCAATATGAATATGAATGAATGAATGAAACCTTTCTCAAATGTCTCAAACTAAAAAAATTTACTGTAAAGTATTTTAACTTACTTTATTATCCAGTAGCTATTATTAATGTCAGAGTTCTCAGTGTTGGAGTTAAAAAGCTATGTTACTCATCTTTAAAGAATTTTTAGTTTGAGGACATGAGCATATCCCTTCTTTCATGAAAAGTAGTACTTATAATAATTATTGTGATGAGACACGATAATAAAAAGATACTGTTAGATTCAAGTACTTCACTAAGTACTTTTTAAAAAAAGTACAATTTGCGCGTTTGGTTTTTTTTTCTTTATTTTTTATTCTTTTTTGTCTTGTTTTTAAAGATTATATTTATTCTGACTGGAAAGGCAGATCAGATTTACAGAGAAAAGGAAACAAAAGGAGAGATACAAAGAACCTTCATCTGCTGGTTCACTCCCCAAATGGCCAGAGCCCCGAGCTGATCTGAAGCCAGGAGCTTCTTCCGGGTCTCCCACATGGGTACAGGGTCCCAAGGCCTTGAGCCAACCTATTTTCTCTCCCAGGCCACAAGCAGGGAGCTGGATGGGAAGTGGAGCAGCCGGGACATGAACCGGAACCCACATGGGACCCTGGCACTTGCAAAACAAGGATTTAGCCATTGAGTCATCCCATTGGGCCCAAGCACTTTCGATGTTCTTTTCTTCTTTTTTTTTTAATTAATCCTCGAAACAACTCTGAGGTTCAAGTAAATGGCAGGCCAAAAATTTAAAATTACAGTCTCACTCTAGAACTTGTATATTTTACCTTTACTGCCCTTTGTTTAAATGACCATCTTTGTAAAAATTCTGCATAAGAAATACATACCAATTAATCTTTTTCTTAGGCGATGAGGTGTTGTTGATATGTATTCACTTTTGTCGTTGTTCTGTTTAAAAATTAAAAAGCATGATTGTTAAATAGTTATAAGATTGACATGAGTAACTAATTTCAGTAAAATAGATCAGAAAACTGTTTTGCTTTCAATAGACTATAATACATAAAACTAAAAGAAATTTAGGTAAATTTGTTGAAAAAATAAAGAATTAACAAGTATAAGCATTGTGGTACAGCGCATGAAGCTACACATGGAATATCAGTATTCCATATTGGAGAGCCAGGGATGGACCAAGTCCCATCTATGCTCTGACCGTTTCTTACCAAGGCACCTGGAGAGAGCAGGATGGCTCAAGTATTTGAGTTCTTACCGCCCATGTGGCATACCTGGATGGAATTCTTGGCTTTAGCTTGACCCAGCCCTGGCTATTGTGGGCATTATGGAAGTCAACCAATGGATACAAAATCTTTCTCTTTTTCTTGCCTTCTTTCCCTGTCTCCCTCTGTCACTCTGGCTTTCAAATAAATATTTACTTTACACAAATAAAGCAATTTATTTTTTAAATAAATTAAAAAATGAATTGTAGAAAAATAAAATTAAAAAGTAAAAGTTACTAGGATTAAAAAAAACAATATAAATTCCAAATGACTACAATGATATAGAAATTTAATTCCAGACATTAATATAGTCCAAATGTATTTTTATTATTTTGGACAGAAAAAAAAAACCTCTGCATCAGCCTGTCAAGTAATTTTTTTTAAAAAAATTAATTTTTTTATTATGTTTTTATTGGAAAGGTGGATATACAGAGAGGAGAGACAGAGAGGAAGATCCTCCGTCCGATGATTCACTCCCCAAGTGAGCGCAACGGCGGATCCGAAGCCAGGAGCCTCTTCCGGGTCTCCCACACGGGTGCAGGGTCCCAAGGCTTTTGGCAGTCCTCGACTGCTTTCCCGGGGGGCCACAAGCAGGGAACCGGAAGGGAAGCGGGGCTGCCGGGATAGAACCAGCACTCACATGGGATCCCAGGCACGCAAGGCGAGGACCTTAATCACTTGCGCCACCGCGCCGGGCCCAAGTAATTTTTTTAAAGATTTATTTTAAAACACTTTATTTAAAAAAATTTTTACTTGAAAGTTAGAATGACACAGAAAGGAGAGACAAAGAAAGATCGTCTATCTCTGGTTGACTCCCCAAGTGGTCTCACTCACCAGAGCTGGGCAAAGTTGGGACCCCTTAGGTTATCCTCCTCTACATTTCCAGGCTACTTCCAGGGAGCTGATCAGAAGTGGAACAGCCAGGACTCAAACTGGTGTCCATTTGGGATCTGTCACTGCAGGTGCAGGATTAGCCACCATCCCAGCCTCTTAAGCCATGTTTTGAACCATCTGTCACATCAGAATGTAGTGATGAAGGGATGAAAGCAAATGGGGGCTGGGTGGTGGCACAGCATCTTAAGCCACTGTCTGTGACACTGGCGTCCCATATGGGTGTTGGTTCTTCTCGAGACTGCTCTACTTCCAATCTAGCTCCCTACTAAAGGTCTGGGAAAGCAGGAAAAGACTGCCCAAGTCTTCGGGCCCTTGCCACCATATGGAAGATCCAGAGAAAATTCCTGGCTCTAGGCTTCCACCTGGCCCAACACTGGCTATTGTCGCTACTCAAAGAGTGAACCAGCAGATGGACAATCTTTCTCTTTGTAACTCTGGGTTTCAAATAAATAAATAAATTTGCTGCCTAAAATTGTCAGCATCCCATGTGAGCAACAGTTTGAGTCCTAGGTGTTCCATTTCTGATTCAGCTCCTTGCCACTGAACCTAAGAAACGAGCAGACAATGTTTTTTTTTTATTTTATTGGAAAGGCAGATTTACACAGAGAAGAGATAAAGATCTTCCTTCTGCTGGATCACTCCCTAAATGGCTGCAACAGCCAGAGCCAAGCTGGTCCAAAGTTAGGAGCCAGGAGCTTCTTCCGGGTCTCCCATACGAGTGCAGGGTCCCAAGTCATTGGGCCATCCTTTGCTGCCCTCCAGGTCACAAGCAGGGACCTGAATGGGAAGTGGAGCAGCCAGACCACGAACTAGTGCCTATAAGGAATATTGGCATTTACAGGCAAAGCATCACGTAGTTGAATCATCACACTGGCCAATAAATAAATCTTAAAGAGAGAGAAGGAAGGATACAAAGAAACAAAAAGGAAATGAGCATCCCTATGTATTAAAAATATGAGTCTTTCAATGTGTTAGAAATGTTCTATCATTGAAATATTACACTTTGTGAGATTTATATTTACCTTCTGTATTTGAAAAGTATTAAACCTTTCACAGAAGCATAATAGTATTTTCTTCTGAAAGACTACAATACAGGTTGAACATCACTAACTCAAAATTTTGAAATTCTCTAGAATATGAAGTTTTCTGAGTATCAATATGACACCCAAAGTATGGGACTGGTGGTGTAATGCAGTACTTAAGCTGCCACTTGTAATGCCAGAAGCCCATGTGGGCACCCATGGGATTCCTGGCTGTACTGCCTTTGATTCAGCTCTCTGCTATTGCACCTAGGAAAGCAACCAAAGATGGCCTGAGTGTTTGGGCCCCTGCAACCCACATGGGTGATCTGGATGAAATTTCTAGCTTCAGCCTGGCCCAGCCTGGGTCTTTGTGGCCATTTAGGAAAGAATCATCAGATGGAAGGTCTATCTTTTGCTCTTTTTAAGATTTACTTATTTGAAGGGTAGAACTACAGAGACAAAGATTGAGAGAAAGAAATCTTCCAACCATTGGTTCATGCAAATGTCTGACAGTGCTGGCACTGTGGCACAGTGAGTCACCTGCAAAGCAGGCATCCCACATGAGCACTGGTTTAAGTTCCAGCTGCTCTGCTTCCGATCCACCTTCCTCATAATGCTCCTGGGAAAACAGCGGAAGATGACACAAAATGCTTGTGCCCTTACCACCCACTTAGAGCAGGTGGAGTTACTGACCTCTCTGTTTTTCAAATAAACAAACAAATCCTGGATACAATCACCACTCACACACCCAGTGCTCTGCATTCCTCCACCTGGGGCTGCCCATACCCAGGCATGGCCCCTTGAGAAGATACAAGAAAAAACAAAACCACAAAAGTAAAAAAGAGATAAAAATCATCAATTCCTTTTAGCTATCCTGTAATGAATATCTAAACCAAGTTAGTTTTCAAACGTAAAAATTATGAAAGGACAGAGTCCTACATTCCATGAAACTTGGGATCAATCAAGGAATCAAAACAACATTTTGTATAAAAGTATACAAAATCTATAAATTTCTCAGGTCAGCTCCATTAAGTTAAAAAATTCTCAAGGATCAGGGCCAGCACTGTGGTGCAGTGAGCGATGCCAACATCCCCTATGAACAGTGTGGTTCAAGTTCCTGTTGCTCTACTTCTGATACAGCCTCCCTGCTGATGTAAGAGCTGTTTAAAATGAAGGCTTAAACAAGTGGTCCTCTTGGAGCTATAAATTCTGATACTTGCCAATGTTAGATCTGCAAAGTACTTGGGTAGAGTCAGATGGAGTTCCTGGTACTGGTCGCTGAAACCAACTGGGGAATATACCAGAAGATAATAATGCCTGGGAATAATCTTCCCAGAGTAGAAGGAACACAGTGGTTGGGTCCAGGTGGCCTGGTTTCATTTTCCAGGCATATCACTGCAACTTTTAGGAAACTCAGATTGTTCCTCTATAAGTTAGCTGTTACACTAATACTTGTAAATTAGAAACCACTATTTAATTAATGAAATGGCTACTTTCCATCATGTTTTATTAACACTCAGGTTTTTGCTTGTTTTTAGTTAATTGCTTACCTTCAACTGAACTTTTTCTGAATCAGAATGTCCTAAAGAATGAAAAAAAAATTACTTAGTAAAAATAATTCATTTCTTATTAAGGTCTAGTTTCATGAAAATAAAAGTTACAATTTCAGTGTAGAAGTTATCTTGCATACCTGAACTCTCAACTAATGCAGAGGGTAAATTATCATTACTAATATGCAACTACTTCCATTAGTGACAAGCATCTCTTGCATTTCTGTAGCATTCTAAGGAGAAAAGATGAAGCTCTTGTCCTTTTTATTTTTTTTAAGATTTATTTATTTTATTTTTTTTTACAAAGTCAGATATACAGAGAGGAGGAGAGACAGAGAGGAAGATCTTCCGTCCAATGATTCACTCCCCAAGTGAGCACAACAGCTGGTGCTGTGCTGATCCAGAACCAGGAGCCAGGAACTTCCTCCAGGTCTCCCACACTGGTGCAGGCTCCTAGGTTTTGGGCCGTCCTCGACTGCTTTCCCAGGCCACAAGCTGGATGGGAAGTTGGGGCGCCAGGATTAGAACCGGCACTCATATGGGATCCCAGCACGTTCAAGGCCAGGACTTTAGCTGCTAGGCCACTGCGCCAGGCCCTTGTCCTTTTTATTAAAAAAGTATGTGATTTCTCTCCCTTTCACCTTTCAAGAGGCACCTTACCTCCTGGCCCTCTCCTTTTCCCTTCCCTTCTCTTTCTATGGTCTCCTGGTCACTCGGCAGATAAAATTCCTGCTGCAACCGATTCCTGGCTTTTTATTTCTATACTAAGCTAAGGAAAGAACTCAGAGCTTTTCTGGGAACATTTTCCCTGGTGCCCAACATGAGGCGTGAAAAAGATTTCTGGTTCTTGGAGCCACATGGCTTGACTCAACTGAGAATTTACAACCAATTAGAGATTTCTAAACTTCAGATGGACAACCAACTTCTGTCACAGAAACTTGGTTGGCCCAGACCATTGCTCTGTGGATCCCATACCTCCAGGGCCTTCTTTACCTGAACGACGCCCTGTTTCAGCAGCAAATAGCTAGAAGACGTCTTTGCTCTTTACCCCTAGAGGAGGAGGATGTGGGATTCCAAGAGGGGAGCTCTGAGACTGTCCAAGTCCACCATAATCTTGGCCACACCCTCAGGTGAGTGGCACAAGAACTACCTAGTCCTTTCCCAACTGGTTGAGAGACCAACAGTGTAGACCATCTTCTCTGCAGGCTCCTACGCAGACAAGCTGGGATGAGGCAACATTTAAAATCCCAAGATCTTCCTTCAAACTTCAGTGTCTCTCCCGCTCTCCTTTCAAGACACCTCATCTCACAGCTCTCTCCTGGGAAGTGCTTTACCCTTCCCTTCTCTTTTTACATTCACCTGACCATTTTGCAAATAAAACTTCTCTGCCTGCAACTGAAATAAATACATAAATAAGTCTCAACTACTCCACCTCCTATCCAGCTCCCTGCTAATGTGCCTGGGAAAGTGTTGGCCCAAACGTTCGGGTGCATGCACCCATGCAGGAGACCAGCAGAAGCTCCTGGCTTTAGACTGGTCCAGCTGTAGTCATTGTAGCCATTTGGGGAGTAAACCAGAGGACATAAGATCTCTATCCACAACTCTGCCTTTCAAATCACTCACTCATTCAAAAAAAGAAAAGATAGGCCTGGCATGGTAGTCTATTGTCTAATGTCCTCACCTTGCACGTGCCAGGATCACATATGAGTGCCGGTTCTAATCCTGGTGGCCACACTTCCCATCCAGTTCCCTGCTTGTGCCCTGAGAAAGCAGTAGAGGATGGCCCAAAGCCTTGGCACTATGCACTCATATAGGAGACCTGGAAGAAGCTCCCTAATCCAGGGTACAAATCGGCTCAGCCTTGTTCATTATAGCTACCTAGGGAGTAAACCAATGGATGGAAGATCTTTCTCTCTGTATCTTTTCATCTCTGCTTGCGTATCTGATCTTCCAATAAAAATAAAAACAAATAATTCTTTAAAACAAAAAAGAATGGAACAAAGAGAGCCTGCCTCCAGGCTCTCTGGCTGGATCCAGGCATTCCCAAGGAACCTCTTGTCTACAATCCCTCCTAGAGCAGTGCTGAAGGAGACAATCTTCTCTTCACACACACACTGGCTGTATCTACAACTACAGCATGCAACTATGCAGACACAGCTTGAAAATGAAGATGCCAGACCACATACATAATCTGGCTCTGAGCCTTCTACTGATCGTAAATATTAAAGTTAATTGATCAAGGCAAAAAAAAAAAAAAAAAAGACACTGTTCAACACCTAGTTGGTACTTCCATTCAAAACCAGCTGTTCCTGGGCCAGTGAGATAGGCACCACTTAGGATGCCTACATCCCATATGTGAGTGTGAGCTTCAGTCTAGGGCAATCCACATCCAACCCAGCTTCAATTAAGGCACCCTGGGAGGCAGCAGATGAAGGCCAGCGCTGAGTGCCTCCCACTCTGCTGCTGTGGCATGGCCCAAACCTGGCTGTTACAGTCCCTTGGGAAGTGAAGGAGAACATGAAAGACCACTTTTCTTCTTCTAACTTTGTTGCTCTGCCTTTTCTTTATAATGAATCAACAAACATTCGCAGCACATGGCCTCTTTAACTTAAGAAAAAAAAGAGCTGATTCATAATTCTCCACAAATTCTTCAGACTTCCAAATTTCAAAAGCCTTATTTCATTCAGTATTTGCCAAAACCACATCTTCTTCTATGCAATGACACTGGGACTAATGACTTTCTAGTTGACCTGGTAACCTGCATATTATCGAAACATTTTTTTCCCTTTAACTGATTGGTCAATGTGCTTACACTAAGGCATACAGGCTATAATTTCAAATACACCGTTGAATGAGTTTTCAGAACAGAAAGTGGAAAAGACATAAAACCTCATTTGGATAAGATAAAAAAAGTAACATACTCTACCACATAGGTTTTTAATCAAAGAAATGAAGTCTTACCTTTGCTACTTTGAGGAATGTTTATCATACTTTCAGGACCATTCTTCACATCCAATGAGACATTTTTTCTTGGTGTGTTTGCTAGTTCTGAAGCTATCAACAGAAAAATAAATGTATTAAAAAAAACACACCAATCTTTAATGGCAAAGAGCAGATAACTTTATTTCACTTATATTGAATCCTGGTTTAAAAGAAAAAAAAGCCCTGTCAGTTACTTTTATCAGAAAGAGAAAAGAATCTAACCATATTAAAAGTACTAACTTTCACTTTTTTAATAAATCAAGGAATACATACTTCTATTTATTTGAAAGGCACAGAGACAAGAGGTCCTTTATTCACTGGTCTACTCCAGCATGGCACATGCCAAGGAGGTTGAAGCCAGGAGCCCAGGACTCAAACTGGGTCTCCTTTGTGGATAACAGGAATCCAACTGCTTGAGCCATCAACAGCTGCTTCTCCCAAGGCACATTAGCAGGAAGCTATAATGGGAAGTAGAGTTCAGATTTGGACTCAGGTACTCTCCTATGAGATGTGTTTTCCTAATCTTAATTACTCAGGCTTTCCTCTTTATTAGCTGTTTTTCTAGCATCTCCACATCTTCCACTTATCCACAGGCTTCTTCAATACAAATGCAGGGGACAGCCTTGCAGGAAATCTGGAGGGAGTTCCAGACTCCTAACTTCGGCCTGGGCTTCTCTTCACATCGAAAAAGTCTACCACTTTTGGATTAAAGTCTACCACTTTTTGCTTATCCACAGGAAGCAAAAAATAAAAACCTTCACATCAACAAAAAGCCATTTGGAAGATAATATTGGCTTTACGATGAAACATAAAAATTCAGAAACAGGGCCCCGCCGGCATGGCCTAGTGGCTAAAATCCTCACCTTGAATGTGCTGGGATCCCATATGGGCGCTGGTTCTAATCCCGGCAGCTCCACTTCCCATCCAGCTCCCTGCTTGTGGCCTGGGAAAGCAGTCGAGGACAGCCCAAAACCTAGGTGCCTGCACCCATGTGGGAGACCTATAGGAAGTTCCAGGCTCCTGGTTCCGGATCAGGGCAGCACCAGCTGTTGTGCTCACTTGGGGAGTGAATCATCAGACAGAAGATCTTCCTCTCTGTCTCTCCTCCTCTCTGTGTATCTGACTTTGTAATAAAAATAAATAAAATGTTAAAAAAAAAAATCAGAAACAATTAGGGAGGGCCAGCATGGTGGCACAGAATGTTAAGAGTTTCAGCTGCTCCAACTTCCAACCCAGCTCCCTGCTAATGTACCTGGGAAGGCAGAAGATGGCGAAAGTACTTGGGCCCCCCCTTCCAACCACACGAGAGACCAAGAAGAGAACACCTGGCTCCTGGCTTTGGCCTACACCAGCTCCATCTGAGTAATGAATCAATGGATGGAGAGATCACACATTCTCTCTCCTTCTCAACCTGTGTTCCTTATGCCATGTCACAGTACCTCTGTCAAGATGTTAAAACACCTAGAATCAGATTCCTCACTTTTACCCCATTCCGGATTGTATCTCTTCCCTCAGCTGACAAAAATCTCATTAGAAAAATCCCTGCTACACAGGGCCCATCATGGTAGTCTAGCAGGTAAAATCCTTGCCTTGAAGGCGCCAGTATCCCATATGGGCACCAGTTCTAATCCCGGCAGCACCACTTCCCACCCAGCTCCCAACCTGTGTCCTGGGAAAGCAGATGAGGACGGCTCGAAGCCTTGGGACTCTGTATCCATGTGGGAGACCCAAAAGAGGCTCCAGGCTCCTGGCTTTGGATCAGCTCAGCTCTGGCCATTGCAGCTGCTTGGGGAATCAACAAATGGGAGATTTTTCTCTGTGTCTCTCCTCCTCTCTGTATATTTGACTTTCCAATAAAAATTTAAAAATAAATAAACAACACAAAACAAACAAACAAACATAAAAACCCTGCTTAATTGGGCTCAGTGCAGTAGTCTAGTGGCTGAAGTCCTCGCCTTAACACTCATTGTTCTTTTAAGGAATGCTCATCATCTTGAGATAGCAATGAGATGACAGCTATAGGGGAAAGTGGTTAAATAACCCTTAGAAAAGGTAAATATAATTATAAAAATGAGAAAAGCAACATACCTAATTTAGACATCTTTTCTGGTTTTTTTCTATTCTGAAAAGAATAAACTTTATTTCCACCCTCTGTAGCAGAGCCATTTTTCAAGGAATCTGAAAGAGAAAATTCAACCAGCATTTAGAGAAAGAAACAAAGTTAATTAACAGGGAAAAAAAGAAAAAGAAAAACGAAAATAGCCTAAGATCCATGCTCTTTACTGCCTTGCATGAAGATTAAATATAAGAAGTCTTCAGAAACTTCATGGAGCATGGTAGCCTAATAGCTAAGGTCCTCTCCTTGCATGCACCGGGCTTCTATATGGCTGTTGGTTCTAATCCCGGCAGTCTCAGTTCCCATCCAGCTCCCTGCTCATGGCCTGGGAAAGCAGTTGAGGATGGTCCAAAGCTGTGGGACCATGCACCCACGTGGGAGACCCAGAAGAGGCTCCGGACTGGCTCAGCTCTGGTCATTGTGGCCACTGGAGGAAGTGAATGATTGGTCGGAAGTCATCAGACAGAAGAGCTTCCTCTCTGTCTCTGCTCCTCTCTGTATATCTGCGTTTCCAATTAAAATAAATAAATCTTTTTTAAAAAGTTTCATAAGGAAAAAACTTGATAAATGTGCTGAGCACTTAAAGTACATAAGAGACATTTTAGAGCCATTACTGTAAGTCTAAAGACTAGAAGATAACCTTTCTAGACATCTCTGTGTAGTTCCAATGCTAGTACTTGTCCGCCAGATCCAGCACCCTGGCTAATGAGATGCATGAAGCAGAGAGAAAAATCCAGTTTTCCATTAAGCCAGCCATTAAACAGATTTTAAAACTATTTTTAACAACAACAACAACAACAACAAATGCCCTCCCCACTAAAGCTTACTTTCGTTTGGGAAATAGTTATTTTTCACTAACCATACAATATTTGGAGTGAGCATTTAGCATATCAGTTAAAGCCTTTGGCATGTCCTATCAGCATGCCTGGGCTGGCCGCCTGGCTGGGCTCCTGAATCCAGCTACCTAACCTTGTGGCCTCTAGCAGCAGCATGTGATTAGCTTCATGCCACTCACATAACAGACCTAGAATGAATTTATTTTAAAATTTTTTTATTTTTTTTTTATTTTATTCAGTTCTATACTGAGTCCACTGGAAGCATCTGGGGAGTGAATCAGGAAATGAACAGACTTTCTCCCTTAAATAAACAAAAATTTCAAAAACAAAAATACTACAAATAGAACAAATCTGCCTGTGGCCCGGGAAAGCAGTCGAGGATGGCCCAAAGCTTTGGGACCCTGCACCCGCGTGGGAGACCCGGAAGAGGCTCCTGGCTTCGGATTGGCATAGCATCGGCCGTTGCGTTCACTTGGGGAGTGAATCATCAGACGGAGGATCTTCCTCTCTGTCTCTCCTCTCTGTATATCCACCTTTCCAATAAAAAATAATAAAAATAAATCTTTAAAAAAAAAAAGTGATAGTAGCATCACATATGCATGCTGGTTTGTATCCTGGCTGCTTCAGTTTCTACCCAGTCCCCTCTAAAGGACTGGAAAAGCAATGGAAGGTGGTCGAAGGGAGACCCAGAGGAAGCTCTTGGCTTTTGGCTTCAGCCTGCTCTAACTTTGACTGCTGCAGCCATTTGGGGCGTGAACTAGCAAATGGAAGATCTCCCTCTCTGTCTCTGTAACCTCTGACTTTCAAAAGAATAAATAAATCTCAAAAAATGAATTTAAAGCAAAAATTTTCAGATGAGATGTATGATAATAATACAAATCACATACTACTTCTGTATAGTGGGCAATTTCCACTATAAACAGACATACAGTATGCATTTCCCTCCATGAAATACCTTGAACATTTGTTCCCAAAACTTCCACATAGTTCTCATCTTTTAAGACTTCTTGCTCATCTTCTTCCAATTCACATTCTGACTTCTTTATTATTTTTTTTGTGTTCACCAATAGCTGAACTCGCTCCTTCTTTAATTTAGTTCCTAGAGGACATTCAAAGAATTAGAACATGACAGACATAAAATCTTTCTGAAAGCACATTTAAATAAACTGGATCACTTGTATTGTCATTAATTAAAAGTTGGGAGACCTTCTGTCTCTCCTCCTCTCTGTATATTTGAATTTCCAATTAAAAAAAAAAAAGGTGCCGTATGGTAGCCTAGGGGCTGGAATCCTAGCTTTGCATGAGCCAGTATCATGGGAATATGAGCACCAATTCGTGTCCCAGCATCCCCACTTCCTCTCCAGCTCCCTGCTTATGGACTGGGAAAGCCCAAAGCACTAGGACCCTTGCACCCACGTGGGAAACCTGGAAGAAGCTCCAGGCTCCTGGCTTTGGATTGGCTCAGCTTAGGCCATTGTGGCCACTTGGGGAATAAATCAGCAGATGGAAGATCTTTCTGTCTCTCCTCCTCTCTGTATATCTGATTTTCCAATCAAAAAACAAAAAGTTGGAGAAAAGTCATTGTTGTCTCTGATTAAAAACATTCAATACTCTTTCACAGCAAAATGTTTATTAGGGGCAAAATATCTAAATATTTTAAATTACAAAGGGCAATTGTCATTTACTATGATTAGTGGGTATTTTATTTTAAATAAGACCATTATTCCAAATTATTTTTAGTGAGTATAAACACTTTAAATTTTCAATTAAAGCATGAAAGAAAGTAAAAATCAAAGCAGTTTTCATTTAGTCTTACTACATCACCTAGATGTGCTGTATTTTCAAAATATTTAAAATCAAATAATCTATAAGCATTACACAAGCATCTCTTCAACTGTACCTCCTTCTCTATCAAGAATGTGATTAAGAACATCATCATCTCCCACAAACTGAACTTTCAGCATCTTGTCTTCTTTTAATTCCAGGTTATTCATCACAACCTAAACAGAAGCAATCCATCATTTTAAAGGGATGAAGGATTCATACAAACTATGACAGAATATTCACATAATGAATATATATACATATATTTATATGATATCTTAAAAAAGTATTTTAAAGTTTGAAAAAGATTCTATGGATTATTTTACTCATATCGATTTGAGAAGGGCAAAATCAAATCAAGATAATTGAAATACGATCTCAGGAAACAACTGTGCTGCTAAATAAAGCACTAACAACAACAACAACAACAAAGAAAGCATTAACCAACCTACATCATATTAACATAGTAGGGTTAATACACAAGTGTTTAGGAAAGAGCCAGCCAAACAAAGAATATATTGATATTTCCTTAATGTATCAAGCCCGGACAACACAACTCTCAAGAACCTTCCTTCACTTTTATACTATGTCAATCAGGCAACTTATCATTGTGAATGTTGTTTTCCCTGTGACTTTAACAACTTAATAGTAACCACAGACTATTCCAGCACTTTATGTCAACTCCTCAATGAACAAACTTCAGAGTATGACAAGATTTCATTATAAACTATACTTTATAATACATGTATAAATTATAAACAGCATATTAAAATTGTAAATATTTATAATTAAAACAGAAAAAATATTTTATAATACTAAATAATCATTAAATATCATGAAATCTAATACTTTATACTTTGAGTATAAATTATAAATTCATTATGGACCATATTTCAGTATACATTCAGTCTGTATAAAGTCAATGTCCTAAACCTAATTAAGGATCACCCCAAATGTTGTTGCCAATCAGTTAACATAAACTAAGCTGCAATTCTCACTGAACTTCCCTTATAAACTTTGCTTTTGCCTTTTCTTTTGACATAAAATACTGGTCATCTCAATTATTTGCATGTAGACAGCTAGCACTCCTAAATGACTTGCTTCAGTCTTCACTTACCTTTTAAAGAACTATACATTCTGTAGCTGAGAAATTCAGTCCTGTAATTGCAAAAGGAACTCTGTCAAGGTCAGTTCATTGGAATATGAAAACAAAAGAACAAAATCAAGTCCACAAGTTTTAACAAATGTGACAGATACATAAATGTAGTCTTAACAATACCAAGGCTGTCCTCAGCAACACTGTGGCCAGAGAACTCTGGAGACACACTATCCGGAGGAGGGGTGGGAACAGGTGGCAGGCTAAAAGCTGAGCATTTATTGAGTTACACATCACTTTGACTACTTTAGCCATATTCTCATTTAATCCTTACAATCCTCTATGAAGTCTATACTTTATATATGAAAACAATACAAACTTCATTCATAATTTACATAACCACTGCGAGCAAAACATGGCTGGCTTTCCTGGCCATTTTGCTAACTGTTTCACTACAGGAAGTGAACCAGTGGATGGTTCTCTCTCATCTGTCTCTATGTAATTGACTTTCTTTTTTTTTTTTTTAGATTTATTTTTATTGCAATGTCAGATATACAGAGAGGAGGAGAGACAGAGAGGAAAATCTTCCATCTGATAATTCACTCCCCAAGTAACCAGAAGCCAGGAGCCATGCCGATCGAAAGCCAGGAGCCAGGAACTTCCTACAGGTCTCCCACGAAAGTGCAGGGTTCCAAGGCTTTGGGCCATCCTCAACTGCTTTCCCAGGCCACAAGCATGGAGCCAGATGGGAAGTGGGGCTGCCGGGATTAGAATCACTGCCCATTTGGGATCCTGGTGTGTTCAAGGCAAGGACTTAAGCCGCTAGGCCATCACGGTAGGCCTGCAATTGACTTTTAAAATATAAATCTTTTTTAAAGAGAGGCAAAGATCTTCCCTCTGATGATTCACTCCCCAGGTGGCCACAACAGCTGGAGCCGAGCCAATCTGAACCCAGCAGCCAGGAGTCTCTTCTGGGTTTCCACACCAGTGTAGGGTCCTAAGGCTCTGGGCTGTTGTCCACTGCTTTGCCAGGCCACAAGGAAGGAGCTGGATGGGAAGCAGGGCTGCCCAGATTAGAACTGGCGCATGCAAGGCAAGGACTTTAGCTGCTGGCTACTATGCCAGGGCCCAAAGCTGTAATTTTGTGACCCTCTGCTCAACAGATCAATCAGAACACTCTCTACTGTCCAGATTAGTGGTCAGGACCAATTTTACCATTAAATTAACGCGATATAATCTGAATTCCACATTTTGTAACTGTGACACCGTCTAAAGCCATTTACATGAAATGTGTCTCACATGTGAAAAGTACTCATTAAAAAGTATAAACATGGACATAAAAGTGTCCCAGTATAGCTGTTTTGGCTTTAAACTTCAACTCAACAATGCAGATATCTTGTCATTCACACCTCTCAGCCCTTTTGGTCAGAAAGTAATGAATGATGCCCATTTAACGTGCACCGTCATTAGTGAAAAGTACAGGGTCATGCTGTTTTATTTTTTATATCACAATTTAACCAGGGGAAGGTTTAAGGGTTCTATTACGAATTGGCTTTCATCCTTTTAAAGAAGTTCCACCCGAAGAGCCTACCTAGTGCATGGATACTTTACAGCCCAGCCCTATTCCAAGGTGACCGTTAGTAAGGTTCATTCGGGTGCTTCCGGCTGCAACGCCATCAAAGAGGTTCGCGGATCCTGACTCTTCAACATTTGCTTCCCTCCTAGGAGCACTTTAATATTTCCAACCCGCCCCCCTCCCTCCGAAATATTTAGTTTTCTGGTCATTCTGCTTTGGGGTATCAGGCAGGCAGGGATTGAGCACTGCTGGCACACAGGTCTGCCACGGCAGCACAGACTGACGAACGGGTCTCAGCCTGCCTGATAACCGCACCAGGCAAGCACCCGCATCTACAGAAAGCGGGCCTGCGCCTCCCGCGGCCGGCTGCTTAGCCGGCTGCACTCCATCACCTGGGGGTCGGACCGGCCGGCAGCCCGCAGAAGGCACACACAGGTGTAACGCCCCCTGCCCCGCGTGTCCAGGGGAAGGCGTGAGTCGCGCGGCCCCGCCGTCCCTGGACTCACCTCACAGCCCGGAGCTGGGCAGAGAAGGGAGGCCAGATCCCAGCACCCCACAACACACCACTAGGTCTGCGCCGCGCACGGCTCCAGCAACCTCTCCCTACCAGACGCTGCCCCAGGGAGTCGTGGCTTCGGGAAGACGTCTTTGGCCTCCACAGAAACAAGTTCTTTCCATAAACGGTGCACCGGCCAGGACCAGAAAGAATATATCGGGGCGGCTGCCTGGGGGATGGGAGGCCTGCTCGCTCCACACCGAATCTCCCGCCCTGCTCGGGAGGCGGTACCCGGAACAGCCAATGGAAACGGCTTCTGTCAAGAGCGACGGCTTCACTGGCCAGTCGGCGCCTGTCAACCGGTCCTGCTCCCCAGGAAACGGAGGAAAGCGAATCCCTAAGCACTGGGTTCAGACCTTTTTTTTTCTTCCTCTTTCCGTTTCCGGGTCTGAGGAAGCTAGTGGAGGTACCGAGAGTTAAACAGTTGCTGTCTTGAGGTAATCTTGAAAGTGCCCGTTGAGTTTGTTTTTTGTTGTTGTTGCTTTTTTTTTTTAAGCTACTTTTCTGAAGAAAAAAATAACGGAAATTTTATTTTTCTATTTCCTTACTGGTCTGGAAAGGTAGGATTTCATCTCAAGGTTCCCAGTAGGAAGGGGAGACCGTTCTTTCTTTGAAGGAAAAGTAGGGCTGGAGCCCTCACTATGGAGAGAGTGTTGCATCCACTCGACCGCTAAAACAGAGTGTGACATTCACCAGTGACAATCACAACAAAGTTTTATTATGAGAGGCAAGGAAACGGACGGCTGGTCAGCTGCCTGGGACCGGCACCCCTTACCAGAGTGCGGTCCCAAACGACACATTCACAGGGTTTTTATAGGGGCAGTGTACAATAGATTGCAGTTTGCAATACCTGGCTCTTCTCCGATCCGGGCTCCAGTCTTGGCACCACCTGTGACGACCAGACTTCAATCTTAGAGTTATCTATGGGTTAATAAGGCTGGGGCCTTGATTTATAAGGATTGAGGGCCATTAGCATTCAAGGTCACGTAGGCCATTAGGCCTGCAAGCTCACACAATTTCTTAGCCAAGCTAGCAAAGTTACAAAAATGAAATGAAAAGTTGCAGTTAGCAATGAGCCATGTTTACTCCATTTTGATTTCAACTCTACAATGGAGTCAAACAACTCCTGGGATAAAGAGCTCAGGGAAATACCATGAACGGAACGAGAAAAGTCCAACTGTTCTTTCATTTATACCAACAAAACTACAGAGGTGGTTCCCTGGGTACCCGACAATAAAGATACTATGTGGAATGAGGGGAACGTTTTTCTCTGCCCCAACAGTGAATGTTCCACAGGGAAGATGATAACAAGGAAAAAGGGGAATGCATGCAAGCGTGGTGGTTACTAGCCAGGAATTACAATTTCTTGGAAACAAGACATAGGAATGTGTGGCACAGTGGCTTCCCAGATCCTCTGCTGCCACATGGTTTCCAACAATGTCGAGGACACTGAGGGAGTTCCTGCTTCTTGGTTTCTGACTGTCCAGGCCTGACTTTTTCAGTAACCCAGTGACTGGAAGATTGATGTTTCTGCCTTTTGACTTAAAACACACAAACACACAGATGTTTTTTTCACCTAAAAGATCCAAATCAGGTGGATAAGGCTAAAGGATTTGCTGTTAGGAAGGACTGGTTCACCCAGGCACTCATCCTACTTGCTTTGAAAGAGTCTGGAAACAGGAGAGTGTTAAGAAATAAAATCACATCACTCCGAAGTGTTCAGAGAGTATAGCTGAGGAATAAGCATGATGCTACATTGTTTACCTCACTATTCTATCTGTAGGGTCTGGCATAGTGATTAAGCTCCTGTTTGGGATGTCTGCATCCCATATCAAAAGTGACTGGGTTTGAGCCCCCAACTCTTCTTGAGCCCCTTCCTGCTGCCTGCTGATGTATGACCTTAAAGGAGGTAATAGCTCAAATACTTAATTCCCTGCCACCCATGCTGGAGACCAAAGATGGAGTTACTGGCTCCCAGTTTTTTGTTTTGTTTTTGACCTAACTCTGGCTGATAAGGAAGTTTGAGGAGCCCATCAGTGAACTAAATAAAGATTTCTGTTTCTCTTGGTATCTTTCAAATAAATTTTAAATCTTTAAAAATTTAGATCTAATGCAATTTGATTAATCATGAGTTGAATATTGTCTTGAAATACTGAAGTCTAAGAATAATCTTTTAAGCATATATTCACAAAAGAATGGGAAAGCAGATGAGATGAATGAAAAGTCTGGAAAGTATGTGGTGATTAGGCAAAGGAGATCAGACTGAAATCCAGGCTTGCAGAGGGGAAAACCAATGAAACAACTATTCCCGTTGCAGAAATCCAGGTGGTCTCAGAAATCTGCTAAGTGCAGTGTAGGTTTGACAGTTAATTCCTAGATTTCCTTCCCTACTTAGTGGAGGATCAGGAGTTGAACTTGGTGAACTGCAAAGGAAGGATCTAGACTATCATCAAGCATAGCTAAGAGTAGGAAAATGAAATCATACTGAGATTAACAAAAAATAGGTAGGATTCAGCAACCAGTCAGACATCCCTTAGATATTAAATTTACAGATTTCCTCTCCAGGCAATCATATCAGAAAAGCCAGTTTAGAGGATACAATCAAAAAAGCCAGTTTGTGTTTTAAAATCTTTTTACTTGGGCCCAGAGCAATGGCTCAGTAGCTAAATCCTCATCTTGCAAGTGCCGAGATCCCATATGGATGTTGGTTTGTGTCCCAACTGCTCTGCTTCCCTGCTTATGACCTGGGAAAGCAGTAGAGGATAGCCCGAGGACTTGGGACCCTGCACCTGTGTGGGAGACTCGGAGGAAGCTGTTGGCTCATCAGCTCTGGCTGATGCAGACATTTGGGGAGTGAACTAGCAAATGAAAGATCTTTCTATCTCCCTCCATCTCTAAATATGCCTTTCCAATAAAAATAAGTAATAAGTTAAAAAGATTATTTATTGTACAGAGTTACAGAGAGAAGAAAAACAGATCCTTCATTCACTAGTTCATTCCCCAGATAGCTGCAACATCCAGGGCTGTATCACAATGCAGCCCTAAAAAAGCCAGTTTCCCATTTTACCTTCATTAACACTTGCTGGGAAGTTCTGCCACTGTTAGCTGAGCTTCCAATCAAATTTAGCCATCACTAAATTTTCCAATAGAATGTCAGGAGACAGCAAGTGACAATCATTCAAGTAGTTGGGTCCATTACACCTGTTCTGGAGATTTGGCTTTGTTCCTGGCTGCAAGCTGTCATCAGGTCCAACTGACTATTGGGTATTTGGGAAGTGCACCTGTGTTTGGGAGCTTTCACTTTGTCTCTCTGAATCTCAAATAAAAAACATACAAAGGCAAAACAAAACAAACGAAGACAAAACAAAACCAGGAGAAACACGCCTATAAGGGAAATTTAAAACTTCATGAAAAATGGAGTTTAAGTTTATTGTGGAGCAGAAAAACTTGTAATTCATGCATATAAGGAATCTTTCAAAGGGTTCATGGAAAATGCATGTCAGGAAAAAATAACACATGTGAAAATATTTTACACCAAAGTTAATCTTTTAAAGATTTATTTATTAATTTGAAAAAGAGAGAGACAAAGGTCTTCCATCCACTAGTTCACTTCCTAAATGGCCATAGTGGCCAAAAGTGAGCCAGTCCAAAATCAGCTACTAGAAGTTTCTTCTGGGTCTTCCTCATAGGTGCAAGGGCCCAAGCACTTAGGCCAAACTCTGCTGCTTTCCCAGGCCATTGGTAGGGAGCAACTGGGATTGGAATCAGCACCCATTTGGGATGTTGTCATGGCGAGCAGAGGTGTAACATGTCACACCAGCCCCAAGGTTTATTTATTTGAAAGGAAGAGTTAGTGAAAAAGAGAGTCAGATATCTTCTACCTGCTGGTTCACTTTCTAAATGGCCATCACAGCTGGAGCTGGTTCAGTCTGGAGCAAGGAGCTTCTTCTTGGTCTCCCCTCTGAGTGGCCATCTTCTGATGTTTTTCCAGGCTATTAACAGGGAGCTGGATCATAAGTGGAGCAGCTGGCATTTGAACCAATTCCTACACGGGATGCCTGCTCCACCATAACAGTCAGCCTCCCAAGCAGGGTCTTAATGATATGCCAATGCCTCCCCCATAGTTTAGAACTTCTGAGTGATTGCTGGCAAGTGGTTTGAGTCCTGGATAATCTGCTAGCCATTCAGCTTTCTTTTAATGTACCCAGAAAAACAGGAAGATGGCCCAAGTATGCAAGCAATCATGTGGAAGACCAGGATAGAGTTCCTGACTTCTTGGCCTGGTGTAGTGCTGGCTGTTACGGCCATGTGAGCAGTGAATAACAGACAGATCTCTTTTCCCCTCTCTGTATTACTCTGCCTTTTCAAATAGACAAATATTAAAGGAATATAAAGACCTGAAAGTTTTAGGGGCCTAAAATTAAGGCCAAAGAAGTTGTATTGACACAATATTTACAGTAGCTATAGATAAGAGATTAAAGGCAGACTGGAGCACTAAAAAGAAAGTCTATAAGTGAGGTACAAATATGTGATAGGTTAATACTTACATTGTACTTACTATTTTATAGATTTCTCAAGGAAAAAAAAAGATCAAGTCAATGATTCTGGACATGGAGAAAAAATATAGTTAAGCCAAAGATGTTGCTGTCCTGCGGCGACACTAAAATGACGAGGAATCTCGAGGGCCTGGAACTGCCACCGCAACTGGCACACACACACTGAATGAACACACAAACACACACACAAACGAACAGGTGAACAAGAAAGGAGAGACGAATGAAAACGGGCAGGCGAACGAAAAGCAGGGCGAACAAAAAGATTTATTGCTGAAAGCGGGCTGCTTATATACAGTTCTCCACCAATCACTTCTCCCTATGGGTCCACTGGGCACTACCTGATAGGCCAGTAGCTATGACATAATCACTAGCCTATCCCTGTGACTTCCTGTTTATCTGCTGGTGAGACAAATCCCACCTCCTTGCCCTTGGCCAGCCGCCATCTTGCAGTGGCCCCTCATACACGTGGGGTTGGCTCCCAGCACACCGCTCCCCACAAAAGATTATCGTCTTCAATCCTGACTGTACATGAGAAATTTTAAAACTGATGTCGGAACTACTTACTATTCTCTAAATATGACCTGGTCATCAGAATTCCTTAAAAAGAAAAAGTTACTTGAAAGGCAGAGGTT